AGAACCTTGGGGTTCCGCAAAACACACACGCATAAACAAAATTCAAACCGCACAATCCAAAATACTTCGTAAAATCGTCAATACTCCTTGGCTTATTTCAAATCACACCGTGCGCACAGACATGAACATACCAAAAGTAAAATCCTATATACACAACAAAAACACAGTTTATTCTTCTACTCTCAATCATCCAAATTCACTCGTTCTATCTTTATCTTCCTTCCTGGTACGATTATTCACAGCATAAAACAACATCAGTCAACGCAACGGATTGCTCCCTTGGTTTGTTGTAAATTGAAAATAATGCTAACTTAAATATGTATTACATCTTCAAAGTTTGTAAGGATAAATCAGTTTACAATAAAGAAGATTAAAATAATTATAAATTAAAACATTTATCATTTTTATATTAAATTATGTTTGTTCGAAGACTTTTTCACACCATTCTATACATGTAAAAAAAAACTTAAAAGTATTCAGCCTCACTCTAAAAAAATTAAAACCTGGATCCGCTTCCCTTGCCATCTGATAAGTCTGTTTGATATTACTGGATGAAAAGGAATAAAAAAGAATGGATAGCAATTTATTGAGTCAATTCATTTGAAATCACACAGACCATGTTGCTCGTTTTGATTTTTATAATTGTTTTAAGGTTTATTCTTTTTTCTTGCCTGCTATTTTTTATTATTATTATTTTTTTTAAATGAAATTTTCAACTATATTACATGAGAAATAAAACAAGTAAATGTAACATTGGTAACATGACATGTACAACATGAAGAGAAACTATCCATTGGTAGAACTCAAATTAAAGTTCTATATTAGAAAGTCCCAAGGCCATCTTATTTTCAGACGCCTCGGAGGATTATCAGGGATCGAACAGGAAGCAAGGTTTGAAACGAGAGGGTTCGGATGGTTCTGCAGTTTGTTATGGAAGGATAGGTATCTGGATTGGGCCAAATCGGAAACATATGGAACATTAAGGTCTTTATGGATGATTTTATTTGTGACAAAGTAAGGAGCGTTGAGGATTTTACGAAGGATTTTGGATTGTAAGGATAGGATACGAGAGGAATTCGATGGTTTAGTGGAGCCCCAAAGCTCAATTCCGAAAGTTCAAAAAGGTCTTATTATTTTATTTATTTATATTTATTATTATTATTTCCATTCTTTATTCTCGCTTTGCGGGGTAAGTTTCTGAGGTGGGAGACCAGAAGTCCAGCCACTTCAGATTAATATCTATTACTTTTTAGATATTTAAAAACTTTCGAACAATACGCGCCGTATCCAAGAGAACTGAGTGTTGAGCCTCTTTTAGCACTTCAAGAGGTAATTTTAATCCCATCGTGCCTGCCACTGTTGTCTTTGGTATTAATCCATTGGAAGATATTATAATTGGAGTGGTGGTGACGTTCCCCAAATGATATAATTCCTTCAGTTCGATTTCCAGTTCCTGGTATTTTCTCAGTTTTTCTTCAACAGTGGAGCTTATATTATTATCATTGGGGATCCCGACATCAATAAGCTCTGCTCTTTTCTCTCTCATATCTATCAGAAGGATGTCTGGTTTATTGTGACGCACAGTATGGTCAGTTATTATCGATTCATCCCAGTAGAGCTTGAGACTACCTTTTTGGAGGAGTTTATTTGGGTGGTACTTATAATATGGAGTTTTGTCATCTAACAAGTTGAACTTCACCGCCAGAGCCTGATGAAAAATTCTAGCCACATTGTTATGCCTCTGGAGATACTCGGTGCCAGCCAACACTCCACACCCACCTGTGATATGTTGGATTGATTCCAGCGTCGCTGAGCATAATCGACATTTATCCGTAGTTGTTACGTCTTTAAGAACATGCCTTCTATATGATCTAGTAGCAATAACTTGGTCTTGGATGGCGAGCAGAAATCCTTCTGTCTCGGAGAATATCTTTCCAGCTTTCAGCCATTCAATGGATATTTCCTTGTCAATCGAGCTATCATTTAATTTACTGTAGAATCTTCCATGCAGAGATTTATTTTTCCATTCTGCCAAGCGTTCGTTTTCTGACACGATTGTAGAGACCTCACGATTGCTCAGGTTAAGTGCGGTTAGACCATAATCCAATCTTGAGATTGCGAGGTAAACCTCAGTTGTTTTTGTAAGAAAATATCGGCGTAGGGCCGCTTCCTGCTTGCGGCAAGCTTCTTCGATATTTAGCAAACCACGTCCTCCTTCTTTCCTAGGCAAATACAGACGAGCTTTGGATGATATTGGATGGTGGGCCCGTTCTTGTGTGAGAGTTGTTCGCACAAGGCGGTCGATCTCCTGTAGGCTGGTGTTTGACCAGTGCAATATGCCGAAACTATAACCGAGAGCAGGTATTGCCCAGGTGTTAATAGCCTTGATTTTTTGTTTCCCGGTTAGCTGGGTTTTGAGCACTTTCCGCAATCTAATTTTGAACATTGTCAGAAGGTCTTGTTGCATATCTTTTCTTGCAATTTTAAGATGTTGCTGCATTCCGAGATATTTATATAACCTATTGTCTTCAAGCTCCCTGATGTACTCTTTTTCATTGATTAGAATATTCTGCATACTAACCACTTTTCCTTTGGTAACATGGAGCACCGCACATTTATCCAGACCGAGTGACATGCCTATATCACTACTAAAAGATGAAACGGCTTCAACCATACTTTGTAATTGGTCTTTGTTTTTCGCATATAGTTTAAGGTCATCCATGTACCAGCTGTGGCTGACTGTGGTGGCTTCGTCGTTGATGATTAATTTGTATCCCATCTTGTTCTTTCGAAGAATCCTGCTTAGTGGGAACAAAGCCATACAGAACCATAAGGGGCTTAGACAATCTCCTTGGTATATTCCTCTCAATATTTTAATTTGATTCCCTGTGCAGATAGTTCCAACTTTCAGCGTAGTTTTCCAACCTGTCATTAAGTTTGAAAGGAGCCTGCTTACTTTAGATTCAACATTGTATATATCTAGTACTCTAAGTAGCCAGCTGTGGGGAACCGAGTCAAAGGCCTTTTTATAATCGATCCATGCCATAGAGAGGTTATTATTATTATTATTATTATTATTATTATTTATTTTGTTTTTTTTGGTCCTTCCCTTCCTCGCCGTTAAGGCTATATGGAATTTTCCCGGGCCAGGGGGTGTGGGCAGGGATTTTAAAAGACTCCCGGCACCGGAACGCGAACTCGTGACTATTTTTATCTTTGATTCATATGTCAAGTTGCCGGGCAACGGCAGTGCAGTGCACACGCTTTAGCCCATTCGGCCACCCCGCCCACAATGAAGAAGTATGTATGTGGTAGGAATTTACGGAGTTTGTACATCAGTCCAGGATGCCAGACTCTATCAAACGCCTGTTCAACGTCGAGAAAGACTACCGTGCTGTACATTCCGCGCTCCAATCGTCTGCAATTTTGAATTTACTTTTGTTACTGATATGGTGTTTTGCGGAAATTTTTGTAACTCAGGTAATTGTGTACACATATCAAACCAAAATAAAAACTGAAATAATCATGAAAATTTTTACTATATTTTTTGTACACCACCTGATAAGGAAAAATAGTTGTTGAAAAAATCATGAAAATTAACATAAAACGAGACTTTTAGCTCTTTAATAATGAAAAGAGATTCTTCATTTCTTGTATCAGAACAACATATGCAGAACAACTATCAGTGAACAACATACTACAGAAATTAAAATCTTAACAATCTTGTTCTCTTTTAATCAAGTATGAAAATGTGATAAGAATATTGTGTGAAAATGCAGGAGTACACATGAAGGATGAATAACAATAAGAAATAAGATTTGTTGTTATATAATTTAATTCCTGAATATGAGAGAAAATTTAAATATTATTAATATTTAGGGCGTGTTAGAATAGTTATGTACATAATTCCAGCCCTTAGCCCAGCCATTCGACTTCTGCAATTTTCTTAATCGATTTTAGTTTACATATTTTATTCATTCATAGAGATAATGGGGTTTCAATTTTTTAACCTCAAATTATTATTTAATAAAATAATAAACAGAAATTATTTGTTTAATTCAATCAGGGGAGCCCCTCTACACCCTCCTGCCCCTTGCCTGGATCTGCTAGTATCGCTGGTGAACATAAATGTGTTTTGTGTTGAATACCTGCAAAGCGAAGACCTGCTAAGTGGGTCGAATCGTCGACAAAAATTAAATAATGCTATTTGTATAATTTAGTATTTATTTGACCGCACCCTCCCCCCTCAACTCCTTCTTATAAATGTATTTTGTTATTAAAAAACGTGTACCACTACCACCTATGAAGGGTCATGGGTTCAGAACTTTGTTTCAATGCTCATGGTTGTGCAGGGATGCTCTCCGGACGGGTTCACGCTTACCCGCCTCCTTTTTTCCCCTCTTCATTAATTGTTTAATTAAGAATGTCCACTTTATGGACCATGGGTGCGCCACAGGAGGATCTCCTGACTCCAGGATTGATCTCCTGCTAATGAAAAATTACTTTTCATCAGTCTGATTCGAACCCAGGACCTTCAAATTTGGAAGTCAGTCCTTACTCAATGGGCTACCCCACTCCCCTAAATATATTTTACCATTTTTATTTTTTTTTAGAGTTTTCATCAAGATAAACCTTCAAGAATGTACCCTATATAAGTTAATTATTGCGTTTAAGGTTAAGCAGGTTTTTGAAGGTAAATAATTAATGAACTCTACGAAAAAATCATCTAAAAGTCTTTTGTAAAAACTTAATAATATATATTGTACAGATATATTACTTTACTATGGTTGTCATTTATCGAGTGTCACCCCTCACAAGCTTTAGATTACAAGTTTTATAAAACTAACAGAAAAAACAATTGTTGTATAAAAGAATTGTACAGTTTATGATAAAATAATCTAATTCAAATTTATACTTTTTCTAATTATAAGTACATTTTCTAGGTAAACGCAAAACAAACCATTATCGATATACCGGTTTGTTATAGTCAGACATATTGCTTAAGAGTGAGGTTCCTATTGATGGTGTTGTTTACGCTAATTTTTCTTTAAAATGTTGGGATTAGGACCTAAGAAGGACGGTGGACCTAATGTGAAATTTTTCGAAGCTTCTGAAACTTTATTACAGTTTGATACAATTAAATCATGGCTTCAAAAAAACTGCAAAAAGGTAATTCATCAATTATAGTCGTTACTTTATTGGTGTTGGTTTTGCTTAGGATGTATTTTGAATTTTATCTGAAGTATTATATCATTAAACTTAATTGTTTATAGCTAAATTCCACCAATATGTTATTAACTAAAGAATAAACTAGCTTCAGATATTAATTAGAATGTTTACTAGAACTGTTAACTATAAACAATGTGATTGTTACATTCATTGTAAGTTGAAATCATTCATATTCTTGTCAACTTAAATTGTTTATTGATGCTTCTGTTATTTATTATTAATTATTGTATGTCTATTTGTATTCAGCAAGAACAGAATTTAGGTTATTGTTTTTATGAAATCATTTTGCACTTACAGCACCAGAATGAAAGAAACATTAGGTGTCAATTGAAATAATGTAACTATTTTTATCAATTAATTAGAAGTACCATATAATCCTTATGTAACTGTATTTATGATTTCAATTTAAGCTTTTTGATGCTTATTGTGTAAATCATATTTAATGCCATGTTTCAATATCCTTGCCTCTGTTTTAGTTTATCTCTAATCTATTGATTTAGTATTTAAAGATGTTTTGTTTAATTCAGTTTATTTTATTTTTTTCAGTATATTCAAACAGACCCACCAACAAGCAAAAGTTTATCTGCCCTGGTTGTTCAGCTAATTCAGTTTCAAGAAGATAATTTTGGAAAAAATGTTTCTAAACCACCACTTACAAGATTACCAGTAAAGCTTTTCATATTTTCTGACTATATTTTAATTTGTTGTATGCTAATAGAAATTTATCAATGATTTGGATTGTTAACAAAAGTTATACTTTATAAGTGTTGGGCCACTTTTATGGGTGGGCTAAGACCCATAAACAATATGTACAAGATATAATCTTCCGTCTTGTGATTTATGCAGCAAATACTACTTGTTTTAAGAGTCCTGCATGGATTAGTTTTTTCATGAAATGGCAAAAACAGGTGAATGTTATGAAGTCAGCTCTTGTCCCAACCATCCATTCCCCTATGATATTTTTGATAAACTCGCGTATCCCCACATTAAAACTTTCTGATTACTCCTCTATTCAGATTAAATTATCTTAAACATTTAGATATTTTTCAGATACTGGCCATTTACCATAATTTGTGATTACTTTCAAATTTAGCATGTCGAAAATATTCCATTAACATAAATCTTTTTAGCAACCAAATGTTCAAAACTTTATTCATTATTTAAGTTGATGAAGATTATTAATCAATAATGATTTTAAGCTATGAGTGGTATTTTTACAAGTTTTGTTATCTACTTATAGGTCATATAATTCATTCTATCATATTATTTATTTGTTATAGTTTTTAATAATACTTTTATTTTGTGAAAGAATTTTATGATATCTTTATTTTAAAGCAATTATTTCACTGCAGATGCGTTGTTTCATGGATTTTAAGCCTGGAGGAGCACTTTGCCATATTCTGGCAACTGTATATAAGTATAAGAGTGAACAAGGTTGGCGAAGGTTCGACTTTCAGGTCAGTAAGGTATGGGCGTGTCACCAACTCACATAACTAACTCTTATAATGTTTTGCTTTAAGCACGCTTTTACACTGCTCTGAATGTTGATGTTATCTGTAAAACATAGCAGTTTTTTGTATTGTATGTTAATGTTTTAGTTAGTGTTATGAAATAGTTGAATTACCATTTTTTTTCTTTCTTATGTGTGAGAATTCATTTGATGCCATTGCTTTTATTGAATTATTTTGAGGAATAAATTATTCTTAATAAATACTATTTATAACTTTTTATAGATAAGTAGTTGATTTTATATTTCTTGTGTGGATATCTCTTTTTTTCCATTGATGATTACTTATACCCTGCTTAGACATACTGAATACAATCTGACTCAGCGATCTAAGAGTTCTACCTGTGGGGAGCTGTGGATCTGGTTGGATTATTATTATTATTGCATTATCATAGTTGCACAAAACCGTACATTTTATCTTAGCAAGCCATATCAAGAGATTTCTGACCTCTGCGTTAGATTGCATTCTATGTGTCTGTGCCTTTAAAATTGTTAAGTGTAAAGATATGAAATGAACTGTTAGTAAATGCTGGTTTGCTAGTTAGTATGGGCTGTGAAGCTTACCATAAGCTCTGATGTATATGCTTCTAAACACTTTAGATTTGTTAGTTGAGATTGAAATTGTTTATGTTTTATTATTTTTATTCTTGATTCTGAGCTTCTATAGTCAACTTTATTTTTTTTAAATTTTCTTTATGGAATTACCCGATAAGTAGTTATTATTTAATAAAATTTATTATTAAGTGTGTTGTCATAATTTTCTTTAGGGTTTTCTATTTTTCAACATCTCTCTCCTTATTCAGTTAGAGGGTAGAGAGTTCCCTGTTTTTAAGGTTCTACGCCTCTGTACCATCTTCCAGATCATGTTTTAGAGCTGGAAGATATGTATGTGAATTAAGTGGAATTAAAGAAATGCATTTTGAGAGTTAAATTTTTCATCCAATTCTCGCCATATTTTTCTTGATTTTCCCTGTTTTTTTACTTTAACTTGCGTATATATGTTATGTATAGTAAGAGTAAGTATCACGATTGTGAAAATTGTCGGCCACCCCACCCCCCTTATGTTCAATTCTATTTACTTACGATTTATTCTGTTAAAAGTCACTACATAGTTTCAGTTTTATTAAAAAAAAGAAAAAACCTGTACCACTACAACCCATGAAGGGTCTCAGGTTCAGTACTATTTAGGGAAAGCACTGTTTCTATGTCAACGGTTGTGCAAGGAGGTGATGTGACGGAGATCACGCTCAACCGCCAGGTTTTTCCCCTTAACCAATTATTTTAATTAAGGATACCCATTCTATAGAGGCTGGGTGTGCCCCAAGAGGGTCTCCCGACCCAGGGTCGCCCCACGGCCGATGAAACAGATAAATAAATTTTCTGCCATGAGCCGGGGTTCGAACCTGGGACTTTGCATTGGAAGCTCAGTGCCCTACCACTGAGCTACCCCACTCCCTTTTTATTTTCAATAATAAAATTTATTTTTATTGTACTGTCATTTTTATATTGCATTTAAGTTATTTGTGGGTTATCTATCGAATAAATAATATTGAAGTTAATATTTATTAATAAGAAAACATGAATAAACAATTTTGTTAAAATTAAACTATTATTTAGTACGTATATTGGACAATGTTAAACATGAAATGATGAATCAATTAGAAGTCAGAGACGTGATGTTGCCATGATAGATGTATGTTTTTCAAATGGATAGTGCAGGGCCTGATTTCCGTCGTATCGTACGATTTACGGATCCAATGTAACCACAGCCTTAAACAGGCATAGGTATGTGTCTTGATCCACTTCTCTGTTACCAATGTTAGTAAACTGAATTTTTCTTTGAAATTCTGTTTGTTATTTCTGAGTTAACTTTACCAAATCTTTTTTTCATGATGCCCAGATAGATGAAATCTGACACCACCCCCAATAACCTTTTTGTTAAAGAAGATTCTGACATTCTCTTGGGTTCTTGCAACTTGAAGGACCCCCCTTTTAACAGAGTTGATGGTCATACCCTTCACTAACTGCTTGTTGAAGTCTCTCAGCAGTATCAGTGATGAGAACTATATCTTCTGTAAAAAAAGAGGAACTGAATTATAATAGGAAGTAAATTCCATCTACCAATATAGGTTCAAAGAGTACTTCTTTTGCAGCAAGAGGCGACCTCATCCATATGTATGAGGAGAGAATTGAGACCTCCTTAACTCTCACTCCCATCTTGAAGTCCGTGTATTCCTGGCCATTCAAGTGGACTATCACCTTCTTAATTTAAGAGTTAATTTAATAACCTCTATCACTCTAGGAGGAACATTCATTGCTGTTAGGATCCTCCATATTTCTTCAATAGAAACCTACTTTTTATGTCTAGAAAAGCCAGGTAAATGTTCCCATCACGGTCCTATGCCTTATCTATTATATTTCTGAGAGTAAAGGTTTGGTCCTGTGTACGCTTTCCTGGCCTAAATGCACTTAGCTACTCTTGCAGGTTTAGCTCCACTATGGGTCTTAATCTTTTCTTCAGTACACTGGTATAGATATTGTACAGTATCGGAGATAGGCTACTGGGTCTATCATTACAACTCTTTCTTTGATTGCCTTTTTTTGTGAATTGGAACAATTATATTGATTTCCCAATTCTTTTGTATCCTTTTCTCATTCTATATGATTTGGAAGAAATTTTGTAGCACTTTTACGAGTTCATGAATTCAGAGCCTACTTGATCTTATCCTGCTGCTTTTCTGATTTTTAGATTAAAAATAGCGATCTCCACTTCTTATTCCTTGATCGGGTCATCTTCTTACTCCTGTCTTCCTCCTAGATGTATATTTCTAAAATTTACAAAAGGAACAGAAATTTTTTTAACGAGTGCCAATACTAAATTTCTCACAAATTGAAGTAGACCACTTTACTAGCAAAGAAGTAAAAACACATAATCCCCATTTGGCAATCCTAATAGTAATGTAAAATAACTGTTAAGATTATTTTTTATTCCCTATTGTGATTTAATCTTGAAGAATATCAAAGCATATTGTAGTATTCTATTAATTATAAACTATGCTATCATTGTTGACATTTTCATTTTTGTTTTTTTTTATTCATCTACAACCTTTTAGATCTTATTACATGTGTAGTTCAATCAAATAATTATTCATAAGTTTAAGTATTTATGTATTAATTTAGGCCTAAACTAGTCTGAGAGAGCCCGTGAGCTTTAATTAAGTTGCTTGCTTTGGCTTCTGTCTCTCTCTTTTCTTTTCATTTTGAATTGTTAGCTTTTTATTTATTCATAGCATGAGTGTGTTTATGTTTTGTGATTAATACATTAACAAATTGAGATAATTAGTTGTTTGTACAGTTGTAACTGAAATTTTAGATCTTATAATTATTTGTAGAAAACGAGTTCTACCATGATTCCTTAATTCTTACGCAACCTCCTAGCCTTAATTTTGGTTTTTAAAATAGGCTGCTGCTACTCTGTTAAAGTAGCTAATCCATTATAATCAATCTTTTTTTTTTTTGGTTGTTAGAATCATTTCAGAACATTATTCATTATAATATGTCCAAATAATAAATTTATACATGACACGCTATTCTTTTATTCCTGTTTTATATTTCGAGTTAATTTAAACTACAATTTCCTTTGATCTTCTTTTTTTTCAAATGTTTTATAACTTGTTACTTTAACGAATAATAAATTTATTGATCAGATTGTTTTCTAAAAAACCTTACAATCATTACTGTTGATAAATATCACCGGTTTATTGCAAAAAGTCTCTAACAAGGAGCGGCCATAGTTATGGGTCACTGATTTAAACCAAATTTTTTTGGTGATACTACATCAAAAATTGTAGACATATTCCCCGGTGTTCTTTTTAATGGGCCCTAGGATCCAGGTAAAAAAATATTCTATATAAGTTCAAAAAGGATTTATATTATTTGTTTTTGCCTGGATTTTTAGGTTACTATATATCAAATCATTTTTTTTCTTTTTTGCACAGGATAAGAAAAAAATATTAACTATTGTATCAAATGCGTTATAATGTATCTTAAGCTCAAAATAAAAAAAAAACGTAACCCATTTTAATTTTATATCTTTAGTTTTATTTGTTTATGAAGATTGGATTTATACTATTTCGTGTACTATACTGAGGTCTAAATCTTTATTAATTTTCATGTGGATTGGTGAAGCTGTTCTGAAGTAATAGAATTCAATTGTTTACCATTTCATGTAGCATACAGAGCTCTAAATCTCTATATTAATTTTTTAATGGATTGATAGAGCCGTTCTAAAGTTACCACAAGTTTTACGGTTGCTGACGAAATTTCAAAGGGTGCAGCTTAGGCAAAAATTTCGTGCCGACAATTTTAATTTTCCTATTGCCTAAAACTTTGTATTCAAAGCTTTCTTGAGGTGCAAAAAATGAATATCAACTTTTTTTCTCCCTAAAAAATATTTACTCCCACATTGCTATGTCGGTTGGTCCAAATTTTGCCCTTACTGTAGCTATCTGCCAAATATAATATTTATTAAAAACCGGTCTGATATGAAGAATAAATAATTTTTTAGCGAGAAACAAAGTTAATATTCGTTTTTCGCTCCTCAAAAAAACCTTTAATAAAAATTTTTATAGCAACTGAAAAATAAAAATTTTCTCCATGAAGTTTTGCTCCCTTAGAAATTTAATCAACAACCACAAAACTTGTGATAGATTTAGAGCTCTATATGCTACATGAAATGTTACAAAATTGACTTCAGTAAAAAATTAGAATCAAAGATAAAAAATAAAAATGATTAGGAAGTTTTTCTTAATTTCTAATTTTTAAAGGTATGAATTTTAAATGTTATTGATGTGGGGGTGTAAGGATAGTAATTCAGCTTTCCATCAGTACAACGAATGTTGAATTTGGAGAAAATCCTGAGAAGTGATGAATGCTTTAGTTATCGGCCAAAATAAAATCCTCTTAGAATATGAAATATTGAATTTTACAATTTTTGTTTTTTTTTTTATAAAAAATCGTATTTAAGAGTTTCGAAGGACATTTAGAATGAATCTCACTTGCTTTTTCATAACAGAAATTTATTACGCCTACTTTGCAAGAAGCGCTTTTTGGGTTTTGTAATTTATAATACATTATCATTTAATACAATATTCAATTTTTTTTTTCTTATTCTGCAAAAAAAGAAAGAAATCGATTGATATATGATATTCTAAAAATCAAGACAAAGCAAAGGCCAAAATAAATAACATACCTTTTGTTAGAAATTATATAAAATATTTTTTTCGCGGCTCCTAGGGACCATTGGAACGAACGTCGGGACATGTGTCTAATATGAAATATGTGTCTTGAAGTTATGAAATGTCACTTAATGACTTTTTGCAATAAACCGACAATATTCAGGATTTTCAGTCTAGCTTTGCTGCATTCAGTTTGTCGACATTTCACCACAAGCATGTGGAACATTATTAGGGCTAAAAATTAATAATTACATCTGAAGTATAAGATATAAATAGAAGTATATGAAAGAGAATAAATCAATAGTACACAAATAGGAAAAAAAAGATATATATATATTATAAATAAATAAATGGTACAAATAATAAATTAATTAAATATAAACTATGCATAAAACAACTAGAACGAAAGCCGGCACAACATGATGTGTTAAATGCACACGAACATTTGTTGAATGCAGTTCCATGTTTAGTGTGGAATTCATGAATGCCAGATGTCCATCCTCATAAGCCCTTACCATACAATTTATGGCCCTCTGCTTAGGAATGGGCAATAGTTGATAGTACTATCGATAGTCCCAGTAACTATTAATAGTTGGCATTTTACCTCCTTTTTTTGTCTAAGTATATTATAACACTATATATGGACATAGTTATTTCTTGTTTGAATGTATCATTCGTAAAAGTGTAGGTAATTTATTTTCTATAAAAACATATTTTCGTTTCAATATAAATTTTCAGTTGTTTATTTGATAATTTTTTTTTTATTGTCTCTACATAAAAATAACCTTCAAGAATGTATTTGACCTGAGTGTTGATTATTATGATGACACTTATATAGCTTTTTTAGTGAATAATTAATGGATTTAGAGAAAATGAATCTTACTGAAGTCTGTGGGGGGTTACTTATCAACTATTGATTGTGTAAAACCATCAATAATGAAAAACCTATCCCTTTTCATGATGGCACGAATGCCTGAATGTTTGTCGAATCTAGTTCGACACAAATGCCAAATGACCAACATTTGCATTATTTTCATGGCTTTACTGTAAAAAGCTGTAAGTCCATTCATATGGTCTCCACATATTAATCTATATTGTGGGATGTCTTAAACTCAGCACTGAACCCATCAATGTGCTCTTTTTGCCCAGTTTAGTTTTGTAGTTCTGTAGTAATATTTGATGCCATCGATGAGTTCAGTGCTAATTTTAGAAAGTTGCTCCTCCCATTACTTTTTATGTTTATATTTATTTAATCTTTGGTGAGACATTTTACTGTATCTATTTAATAAAGGAAACTGTTTCAAAAATACAAATTTCTACTAAACACCCCACCACTATTTTACTCCAATCCGCTCAGTTCTTGATGCAGGATTAGACACTAACCATTATTAATTGTTAAGCTATTTATATTAGTTACTTTTTATTTTCTTGTAATATGACTCCATATGTTGCTCCCCATACTTATTAATTTTCTTTTTAGTTACTAAATCTCACCTTTTAATGCTGCTTTATTGTATTCCAATTCAGTTTAGTAATTCAAAAATTCACTCACTTATTCTTAGCTCTATTTGTTTTATGCATAATTCTTATTTATTTAAAATGTTTATCTTTTTTTTTTCTCTTTGTGTGCTATTGTGTTTGGTTTATTTATGCACTTGTTTCTATATCTTATATTTCTGAGGCAGTTTTTAAATGTTAGTCCTGATGATCACCCAAATGCTTGAGTCAAAATTTCGGCTAAGTGAATAAAACAAATCTAGCCTGAAAACTCTAATTTATCAGTCTTATAATTTATAAAAATAAAAAAACAGTCAACAAAGTCATTACACAATATGCTACTATCCTCTAATAGTGGTAATTATTTTAGAATTATTGAATACTTATAAATCAGAAATATTTTTAAAATACTAAAACTTTGAGAAATAATTATATTAATTGAAGTTTGTAAACATTTTTTATATTTCCTAAACAAAATAAATATATACTTTTTGTTTTAAAAAAATTAAAATAAGTAGTAATTCTAGGTAACACATCATTTAGTATTTCTTTGATGAAACAATAGAATTGTTCCTTTTTTTATTAACTGAAACATATTAATAAAAAATGTATTTGTTACCACCCCATCTAGTTACCACACATAATCGTTTACAGTATAATTGAGTCTATTGCTCTTGTTTCATAAATCTTAAGAAGATGATTTTTGTAATCAGATAAATTTATTATTCTGGATAAGATTTTATTATTTTTATGTTTTATGTTCCACTATTGAACAACTGTTGATTTGCCTGTCTAAATTATAAGATGTATTTTCATTCTATTTTAGTGTCTGGGATTAGAGATAAGCTAATGTTTGAACAAAGATGTGTTGTGAGTACTTATAAATTGTTTCAGAGTCCCTCTCGAATGGATCGGAATGTTGAGATGTTTATGTCTGTGGAAAAGGCACTTATTCAGGCAAAATGCCTCTCTCTTCCCTGTGTTTATGTCAGATCAGAAGTGGATAAAAGTATAGCAGTTAAAGTGAAGGATATTATTAAGAGGCACCAAGGTTCTGTGACAGGTAATGTGTATATGAATCAGTTGAAAAACCAATACAATAAACAGATAATCAATGCATCTATTCAATTAAAATCTAATGTAAAACTTTAACATTGTGCAATTAGTCGAAAATTTTTTTCAGAATGAGTAATTTGTTAAAATCATATTTCAAGATTTTGCTGTTTTTAACTTATTTTTTTCCCCTTATACTGAAGTCGTTGGTCAATTTGTTAGACATAGAAAGACGAAGTCATAGATTTTTTCATTTATTGATTTAAAAATGTCATTTTTCTTATTTTTTTTTTGTTGTTCCCTACCTTGCCTTTTCGGCTATACAGGATTTTCCCGGGCCGGGGGGTGAGGGCGAGGAATTTAAAATCCCCTCCGGCACCGGGACGCGAACTCGTACTTTTTATATCATCTCAAATCTCTGTTATCCGGTTGCCAGGCAACTAGCGGTGCTGTGCACACGCTTTAGCCTATTCGGCCACCCCGCCCCTGTCATTTTTCTTATGTCCATCAAGGTAGGACATGTGTTTAGTTGATCTGCATCCTTTCTTCCTTGATGACATAATTTACACCTAGGATCCTCAGCCACCCCTATCTTGTGGAGATGACTGCAGATAGTCGTAGCCATTCGCCAGCCTTCTGCATCTCTTTTTGATAGGTCAACTGGGATCAGGTTGTCTGTCAAACACTCATTATGTTTCCCATCCACTTTGTCCGAGTGTGCTTTTCTTATTTCTTCTTTCACTCCCATTCTTACCATTTGATGTATTGAATCCTAAGTTTTTGGAATGAATCGGCTATGGTAAATCTGTTCCTCGCTTGGCAAGACTATCAGCCTCTTGATTTCCTAGAATCCCGCAATGGCTCGAAATCTACTGTAGGATTTGCTTTCCAAGATAGCACTCGATAGACTTTCATTCATGTTAGTAACAGCTAGGATGGCTGCTTGAGAGAACAGCGCTCTGGTCTTGCCCTCCAGACAATGTTCTTAATGCTTTTTTTTTTATCCTCGCCTTTAAGGCTATACGGGAATTTTCCTGTGCCAGGGAGTGTGGGTGGGGATTTAAAAACTCCTCCGGCACCGGGACGCGAACTCGTGACTATTTTTTTTTTATCAAAGTCTTATGTATCAGGTGCAGGCCTTATGCAGTGCACACGCGTTAGCCCATTCGGCCACTCCACCCACAATGTTCTTAATGCTACTACGATTGCTATTATCTCACCATCAAAATTTGTTCCATCCTTACCCACCGCAGCATTGAATTGGAATTCCTTTGAGTAAACCCCTGCTCCAAGGTTTTTAATGGCTGATTCAGCTGATTCATCGGTATATATGTGGAGCCAATCTTGAGCTATAGTTTCTAGTGCTATTGCTTTTAGCTCGTATTCAGGGGTGTTTCTTTCTTATCCAACTTATGGAGGAGTTGCAGTTCTGCCTTATCAAACTTAGAGAGGGAGGAGTTTAAAAAATAATTTTTCTTTCCTACATCTTAGACCAAAACAACCTTTTTCTTTTTGGAACAACCTTTTTGAAAAATAAAAGTGGATCACATATGATATAACTTTTTTAGGAGTTGTCAAGTATTACCTCAGAAATTTTAACATGTTATATTTTATATTAATGAAAAAAAAAAGTTGACTAATGCAACCTACTAAAGAGTCTCTGTTTTAGTTATAGAAGGAGGTGATATAGACAGTATCCACTCTCAACTACTTGGTTGTACCCCTACACAATTTAAGACGGCCAAGGTCCATTTTTGAGCTTCTGGGTTAGGGAATGAGCTAGGGTGTCAGCGCTTCTTGGTTTTTTATTTTTCCCCAATACAAATACATTCTTAGTTGTTTGTAGTGCCCCCCAGATTTCATCAACTAAGAGCTAAGAGGTCCTTTACAAGGGTGGTCTGAAAAGTTTCCGACCTAACAAAAATATAAGACATTTTTTTTTTTTCAACTTAGTTTCTTTGTAACTCTACTCACTTCTCCCAGCGATGCTCCCATCTCTGTAACCTGTCCAAAAGTACTTGGCATTTTTCTTTGCAAAATAATTGTTCACGATGGTGATTGCTTCTTCATTTGATGAAAATCTCTGTCCTCTGAACGCAATTTTTAGATAAGGGAACAAAAAGAAGTGGCTTGGGACTAGATCTGGTGAGTAAGGCGGATGCTCAAGCAGTTCAAACCGTAATTCATGGATTTTTGCCATGGCAACCGCTGAGGTGTGATAGTGCGTTGTCTTGGTGAAACAGAATTTTCTTTTTTTTCAAATGTGGCTGTTTTTCCGCAAGTTCTGTCGAGTAATGATGCGTAGTATGCTCCTGTAATCAGGGTGGCGACTGATCTGGAAAAGTCAGAGAATTTTCAAAACCGGGAGAAGTCAGGGAAAAATTGTTAAAGTCAAGGAATTTTTTTATTTCGAAAATATTCTTTTAAATTGGAATTATTATAGATTGGATGTCGTTTATAACGACCTTAAGAGGCCTGGTAAATTACATCGTTATAATGTATAATTGTTATAGACATTATATTGGAATTAAACAAGAGCAATGAACAAAATGGAGTTAAACCAGGGCTTTTTAAAAAAGAAAAATATAACAATACTATTTACTATTTGTAAGTATACATTTATTCGTTGATTAACTGGAGGAGAACGTTGGCAGCTTCATATAATTCATGCTTATGTAGAGTCGTAATGTACGAGTAAACTAAATGTTGGGACCGCTCGGTCTTTTCTAATTTCTAATTTAAATTTTCGTATAGAAAGCAACAACTTTCAACTGACTGACTGAAGTTGTGTGTTAAAATGAGGTTTATCTAGAATTAAAAATGGTTACTAGCTATAAGTCCTAACGTTAAATAAAATTGTCGGTAGCTACTTCTCTAATAGCGGGTTATTGAGAAGAACAGATTTTGTCGTGAGTAGATAGGTAGTCGTTGTTTTTTTTTTATATAAATGATTCAGCATATCCTCAATTAGATTCGCAATTTTTTTAAATTGTAAGATTTATGTTGAATTCTTGAGCCAAAATATTATTAGACTCTTCAGTCTCTAGTCGGCAACATGTATAGAGTTTTCCTTATATCTAGAACTTTTTGCTCTTCTTTATTCTTATTAAACTATTAAACAGAAATATGAATTTAACAGTAAGAGTGGGAATGAAATTGGCTCTATAAATGTGATTCTTACATAGAGAACGAAGGAAATAAAATATGAGGAAATTGAACAAGATCCTTAACTTCTATATACACATTACATGTTTGTTCATGTATTTATTGTTGCATGCTTACCTACTTGATTTATTGCAAATAAAAATGTAAATTTATTTTGTTTGTAAAAACTCATTTTATTTTGAGTTATATTAAGATTAAGACTACAATATAAAATAATTGGTTAATGAAAAGTCGGTATTTTTATTGATTTAAAATTATGATAAAATTACTCCTCAATTTAAATTTCCTCTAATGTTGATTATTTTAACTTCTTTTTTTTAGAAAACGAAGAAGGAGCTACACACATAATATACCCAGTAGTAGATCCTCTTGATGAAGAATATGCTAGGCCTGTATTGCGCAGGGATAAAATGACCCTGATGCATTGGTATTATTTTCCTGATTCATATGATTCATGGTCTTCAGTGGATCTTCCACTTGATCCACCCGATTCGCCCCCTCAGCATCAACTTCCCTGGAGGGTAAGTATTATTTAATCTAGTGACTAAATGAATACGATAAGATTATTCTTTTAATTAAATTCGTTAGTTTCAATTTTACTCTTTTTCTAAAATTTTTTATACAGTTTATTATTAATTAATGATAAAATTTTGATTGTTTTGGGTTGGAATAAATGAAATCTCACTCAGAGTTGTTTATTTTTTTGAAAACCATTGAAATAAGATACCAAACTTTCAACTAGAGTTTACAAAATTAACACAATGGATATTAAATTATTAATCAGTAGACAGTTCTTTTTTATTTTCAATCCATATTTTTTAGTTTATTGTGAAAAATACATGTGTTTGTATATTTTTTTGTCCTCTGTGAAATATGAGACATGGCGGCCGTGTTATATTCTTATAAAAAGTTATCCTTGAACAATATGCATCTGAAGCATTTCAAAATGGTAATCTGTTGTTTGGTAATGGCAAAGTGAAATAAAGAACAAACTATAAGTAGTAGTTTATTGAAGTAATAACTCTTTCACTTATTATTATACATCTCGGAGAAAGAAAATTTGCTCAATGTTGGATCAGGGATGATACAGATGTCTATAGCAAACATGTTTAAACTGAGATTTAAAAACAAAAATAAAGATTTCGTAAAAAAAAATAATAAATAAATAAAAAAATGTAGTTTCAGTGTAATATTTAGTGATGACTGTTTTGTAATACCTGTAGGTGTTTTTTCTTTCTTTGTGTCATAAAACATAACTTTTCTTTCCTAGGTACTGTTGTTACTGGAAGATTTTTCAAAATTTATTCTAAAACAGGCATTATTATTATTAACTTTCAATAAATGAATACAGGTCATTCCATGCCAAATTATCCAGAAAAAAATTCAATTTGTAACCCATTCTCCTCGAGATCTTAATTAAAATTTGTAAATATACATGTTAGTAGATATATCAGATTTTAGTCAATTATAATGATTAGTTTCAGAGTTATTAAACTGTTGAAGTAGGGAAGGCATTTTGGGCTCAAAACCAGCATGTACCTGTTTGGTTTTTGTTTGTAAAACCAATATTTATTGACCAAGAGCTTTCAAAATTTATTCGTTTATCATAAATGTAATACAGAATTTGCTGATAGTATAAGCTTTAGCATTATAATTTTTCTTCATGTATAAAAAATTCTTAAACATAAATTTTCAAAATAGTGATAAAAATATCTTAAACTACCTGTAGCTAAAATCTCTCTCCAAATACTGATATACAACCATGAAATTAATGAAAACAGCATACAATTCTCTACCAAACGCAAAAATAATATTAGTGGGCTTTTGATTTTGAAGATTTTTATCACACAGTACATTTTACATTTTTCCAAATACAGTAAATTTTAATTTACCAGTTACAAATACAAGTAAAAATTGCTTAAATCTCTCCAAATATCTTATATATTATTTCTCTGACATATATCCCTTTTCTGGCTCTCAGGAGTGATGGATTTTGATGAATGAGGTATCAATAGAAAGGAAATATCAGGTAGATTGCGTGAATTGTAGTTTTGATTCCTAATTTTATACCTGGACTTAAGTAAAAGTGGGAGGTTTCAAACCATATGATGATGCCGTCTCAACGAATTGAGATGTTACAAATGAATTCATAATTTGGGAATAACTCGAAAAGGACATAATTTTTGGTGCATTTTACAAATGAGTATTTCAAAGCTTACTAAATTCCCTACAAAACATTAAAAAAAAACAAAAAAACATCGAAATCGAACAATTTGGTGCAGAGTTATAGCTTTCTGAACATTTATTTTTTGTTACACTGCAAAGATTGTGTTGCATCTGGGTAGTTATTTATCAAATTGGGAATTTGCCCCTTGTTTTCGGGGTACAAGGGTATATTATTTATAAATTAGTAATTATTTTTTCAATGTCAAAACATTATATTCTTTTTAATTAATTACAATATTAATTTTATTTTTATTTATATAAATGTGTCTTCCTTTAAACATTGTTAGTCATTTTTTTCAATGTGCTTCGATTACAATGGCATTTACTTTTAGTTCTTTATTATTGTAGTTTATCATTTTAAAAATACACTTTCGATTTTTTTTTTTATGATAAAGTAACATACATCCTGGACTAACTATTCCTTCCTGAGAATTTGAGGCTTTTGCTATCATCAGATGTTTAAAGCAATGTTTAGAAGCTTTTGTTAATTTGTGATAATCTAATGAAGGAACAAGCTAATATTTAAATTATAAGTTTAAGGAAATGCAATGGTTAAACCATGACAAATTGTAAATCCTATTTATTAACAGATAACTTACATTATATATGTAATAAACCTTTGCGTATCAAAAATTATTAAATGGAAGTTGTGCTGACCCCTTAATGCATTAAATCAGATACAATTATTAGGTTTGTGCAGAGTATTCGCATGGGTCAGCTATTCCTAGTATAACCATATATTAATGAAAAAAGCATGAAATTTTCTATCAGATTATGAAGTAATATTTGTATAATTTTGAGTTATAAGAGATTTATTATAATGTAAATCAAATAAGTTTTTGCATGATGCGGAAATGGTGTGCTAATCGATATCGAAAAATACCTTTAGCTAAAATCTCTCTCCGAATACTCCAATATAACCATATAATAATGAAAAAAGGATGAAATTCTCTATCAAATGAAAAAAATACGGTGCGGTGCACTCATCACACAACTTTCACTTACTACCACATTAACATCCTTAAAAAGTCTATATCCAGTGCCGGGGTTTTGTTTTAATAATCATGAGTGAAAATAACCTAGTTCCCTGATATAAAGTGGAAGGCTATGCGCCAATTCCCACCAAAGCAAATTATTTACATTTAAACTTTATTAGGTTATTTACAAGCTCAGATTAGCTGATTTTGACAAGAAAGTTTCTGTAAGATCCCAGGTATATACAAATCTTAAATCGGCTATTTCACTTTCTTACGACTTTTCATTTTTGGGCTAGACTGATAACAGACTCACAGACCATTTTGCATGGCAGGACTTGGTTATTTGGACTCAGGGGACCTCAACACGTATTTCTGTTGAAAAATCAGATTCAAAAATGTTCCTGATCGCAGTACTTCCCCTTACTATATATTGCATATATACTGTAACGTTCCCTTCGTCAACATAAATCAAAACAACGAGTTTCCTTTTTTAATATTATTATTTATTTTAACACATATAACATCTCAGGTTGGGTTCTGACACCTGAACACTCATTCAACATTTAATAACTATAATTTACGAATTAATAAATACATATAAGAAACGAGATACATACATTATAGGAAATTATACATATGTTTTCAAAAACCTTTATTGTCCCAGTCTAAACTTTGTGGCTGCTTTCTATTCTCTCAGCTTGCTGGCTTCTCTCTTGACAGCTTGTCACATCTTCTCTTGACGGCTCATGATCTTCTCTCTTAGCCGCTAGCACCTTCCCTCTTGGCGGCCCGTCGCAGTCCCTCTCTCATGAGCTTGCTTCCCCCACTTCTTTCCTGTAGTTCATGTTCTTGCCACTTTCGCGCCACTATTTATATACCATGTAATGTTGACATTACAATACGTAAGTGAAAGTAGATGCAGGATGGTCAAGCAGGCTAACACCTGTGTCCATAGCACCATCCATTGCCTGGCAACCTGATAACCGAAGTTATAAACGATAAAATAATTGCAAATTCGCGTCTCTGTGCCAATGGGGACTTTTAACTTGGCATTAATCACCCGCCCTCATCCCCTGGTCCAGAAAAACCCTGTATAGGCATTAATCACCCGTCCTCACCCCATGGTCCAGAAAAACCCGGTATAGCCTAAAAGGCAAGGAAGGGGGAAACAAATAAAAATAAGGTTAGTGAACGTAATAGAAGTAATAAATTAAATATTATAAAGGAAGGAGATGGTCCGGGTTGCGGTCATAAATAGGCTAAATAGTGGTCAAACTAATTTATTAAAAGCCGACGTTTCGACCCGACTTTGCAGGTCTTCTTCAGGGAGGTGTGGTCAGCTAGGAGTTTCACTCAGTTTGCAAAAATCAGGGCTTTTCAAGGGCCATGTACTTGCAAACAAGAAATTGTTGGTTCTTCAAAGGTGCATGGGTAATAATCATAATAATAATAAAAGGCTTAGCGAACCCGGAGGTTCAATGCCGACACCACCAATCACTTATTACACACCTCCCTCCACCGTTCGCCGTCCAAACCCAATCCCTTCAGAACGGCTTTAACGCAATCTTCCCACCTTCCCTTTGGTCTACCTCTCGGACGTTTACCATTCGGTACAGCAAATATCAAGCTTTTGCATGAGTAATAATGTGGTTACATTTGGTTTTCTTACATTTTTCTCAAATTTGGGTCTGATGTTCCATATGTTCCAACCTGATAGTTATAAAACATATTGAGATATTAAACTTATATTTTATTTTATCATTTTTATTTGGATTTTGCATCTGTGTTATCCATAATTTATCATTTGTTTGTATCATTTAATTGTATTGTACAGGTAACAGCTTCTTGGGCAATTGAATTGGATATGTACAATGAATGGATGAATGAAGAAGATTATGAAGTTGATGAAAATGGAAAAAAGAAAGTTCATAAGGTATATGTCAACAAAATGATTCCCATTTGATTTTTGTTAATTAATTTTTATTTTATTTTACTTTTTTATTTACTTAAATTATGAAGTTTTGTTAAAAAAAAAAAAAAAGGTTTTTTATTTTAGATTTTCTTAACCCAATGCTTTTTGTAGTAATGGACACAGAGCTTTTAAATTATGTCAATCACCATCTTGATGTTTTCAAGGGCAAGAAATAGGAATAGGATGCTGAAATGGGAAATATTCTATGAAAAAGAAAATCTTGATTCTTCTGCTTAATGTGAATTTTTTTTAATTTGACAATAAATTATCTACATTTATGATGAGGATGTCTTGAAACTCCTTTAAACGCATTAATTTAAATAACCTAATCTGAACAACTAAATATATATTTATTTTTTATTTTTTTTAATATAAAACTTGTAAAAACAACCTAGAAAATTAGTGAGAATTTAAAAAAAAAAAAAAAATGAATTTACACTTCCTAAAATGTGGGAAAATGGTAAAACATGAAATATAATAATAATTACAAGGGCACTAGAAAAGTTTTACTATACAACTTTATTTTTTCAATGTAGTTTCTGCCACACAAATTATACATCTTTATCCTTCTAAACCAGTCTTCAAAGTTAAACCATCATGTTTCTTCTGTTATCTAGGCACATTTGGTGTCGCAGGTCCTCTAAAGATCCTTATCAGTTTTGAAATGCTTTCCTTTCAGCCTTTTTTTCACCTGCAGTCACTGTGGAGCTAGATCTGGGCCATAGTGCGCTCTAACAGTTTTATTCCAGTACTGGCCAACATTTGTTGCAAACTTTGGACTGATGCACTGGATCAGTATAATGGTGAAGGAACCATGAACCCATTCTTGAGTTTATCTGAAGTTTCTGGAGAGCTTTCATTATTCTCCTCCTTGTTTTAGGTGGGATATCATATTGTTAAGCCAAGTTTCTAAAACCCATTTTTGAACTTTTTTTGCATTTCACTCCACCATGAAACATGATCCACCTTCATTCAAGCTATGGGACATCCATGCGAAGCTTCCTTAGGGTGCCCACATAGTGGAGCGACAATATTAGCGAGTAGCAGAGCTAGCTGATATGTTTACGGATATTTTTGATGATATTTTGAGAATATCTCAAAAACTATGTGGTTATTCTCAAAGATTGTTCAGCACAATATTAAAGTGGTTTAAAATATCTACAAAAATGATCCTATACATTATTTGATGAAATTAATGGTTACAGAGGTATTTATGAGGTTATATTTATTGTATTTCCACTTATGTAAGAATTGCTCCAAACTACGAAATTGATTTTTTTTTCATAATAGATGATACCATTTTGAAGTTTAAATTGTTTTTATAACATTTTTGATAGTTCAAATTATAATAAAAAGTTTCTCTGTTTTGATGATTCAAAAAAGTCATTGACGAGAGAATTGTATTCGATATCCATCATTGGGAAATCTTGTGATATTGAAATGAAGTTTAGATTGACATTGATTTCATATAATTGATACTATGTGATAGCAGGCCTTAAAAACTACAAAAGAAAAAAAATCTATAAACCATGGGGTGATTTCATACAGAAAACCTAAAAAATGTTTAATTTTGTATTTTATTAAGGTAATCACGTTAATTAAATGAAAAGTAACAAAAAAATATTTAATTTAGGTTACAACCAATTACTTCATAGTAAACTAGACTTTTAGAAAAACTTTCTTATTCGATTATCCTTAAGGCTATACTAAGTAAGTTGAGATTCATCTCTAATTGATTAAAAAGATTATTAGTACGGTGCAATTGGGAATTGACCTCAACATTAAAAAAATAAAGATGAAACTTATCAGATATTATTCATTACCTTACCCTAATTACTAATAAAAAGACCTGAAACTTCAAACATGGGGGGCAGGAAGGACTGAAAACTGACTTAATTTTAAGAATATCTCAAAAACTATGAGGTTTTTCTCAAAATTGTTCAGTATAATATTAAATTACTATTTTGTTTCTACAAAATAGTCCAATTACTATTTTGTTTCTAAATAGTCTATATTTTTTCATATAATAAATAGTTACGGAGATATAAAAGGGAGTAAATAAGGGATTTCTCTTTCCGGAAAAAAAATGCCGGAACACTGATTTTTACCAAAATTTGTCACCTTGCGGCATTTGGTATTTTTCTTGCCTAAAAAACTAAAGGAAGTCAGTAGCCTCACATTCCATACTCTGTGCCAATTACTATCTCATTAGATTTACTTATAATTTTTTATTTACTTATAATAATTAGTAAATTTGCTTTCCAGCTTCGTTTGTCAGTTGATGATTTAATGGGCCAGACAGATGCTACTACAAAGAAGAAACCTAAAAGAAAACGTTCCCCATCTCCCGTTCAAAAACCAGGAAAAAGGAAAAGGTAATTTTAGATTTTATTTATAATCCTCATATGCTGATCATAAGAAGTCTGATATAGTTAGTTTTTGTTTATAAACCATTTATTAATCATCATTAAATGTTATAGTATTAAGATATCTTGCATGAATATTTGATCAAGTTGGTTATGATTATTTTTAAACATTTTAAATTCTGTCATTTATAGGTTGTCTTAATTGAGTATCATCTAGTTTGTTTTTTGAGTTGTTTTTTTTTAATATAAAACAGTGCAATTAGCTCCAAAAATAGGTTTGTTGTCATAATTAGTTTGATAGTTCTAATTTTTAATGTTTCATAAACTGATCCCCTATTGTAAAATGATAGTTTTTGATCTCACAGCACCCATTTACGCACATTCATTTTGTGCGTTAGGAAGTCATTTTATAAAAGCCAGTCCAAACCATTGAAAATAATTTTTCACCATGTTTCTCCTTCCTAATACAAATTTTGGATGAGGCAGCCAAAATATTTTTTCAGAATATCAAATTTCCCTACCACTTGTATTTATAACTATATTATACCTCAATAAAATTACAGATACCGTAGTATTAAGTAAAGACAATGCAGGTTTATTACATACTATTTTGTGTAAATACGTAAATGCTGGTTTTATAAAGATTTAGAGCAGTAGGATAACAAAAAATACAAAAGTGTTTTTTTTGTAAAATCTCAGGATTAAATTAGATTTGCTTTAGTGCTTAACAACTTAAATGTAATGTGGTATGTTTTTTTTAGTTTTTCTAATATTGACAATTTATAATCGACAAGTATCATCACGATCTTACATATGATGTGGTATGAAACTAAAATAAAATATGTGGTATGAAAATAAAATAAAAATATTTTAAAAAGGTCACAAGTTGCAATTTTATTTTAAAAGGTCACAAGTTGCAAATTTTGAAACCCTCTCAGGTGAGAGGAGGTGTGAAAAATTGTCTTAAAATTTTATCAGAGCATTCATAAGCATATAGTAATATTTAGCATATTGCATAGTAGTAACATTTTTTCAATAATTACTTTAAATCCTTAAAATCTTTATTTGTCATTTGTGCCTCTCTATCCTAAAATAATAGGTTGCACTGTAAATAATTTAGTAGGAAATTTTATGTTCTTCACAATTTATTCTAGCTACTTTAATCGAAATTAGAGTTATTAAGAAGATATAAGGAAGAAAAGTGATTTTGTCATGATTCTGGCTAGTTTTTTTAAGATAAGCTGTGTATCGGCTCTCCAAAATTCATATTTTATAACATGAGACCAGATAGAACATATTAAATTAAAAAATAGGAACTATCTGTACAATTAAGATAGCAGATTTCACTGGTCTATTGAGATTTTTTCCTTATTCTTTATATGCATTTTTAGTGGTCGAGGTTCATCTGTTGGTCCAAAAAAAATTAAAAGTGAGGAAGAAGAAAGTGACTTGACAAGAGATATGGATGATCCTACCCCAGAACCCAATATCCAAGAAGTGCCAATTCCCAAACCTGCAGGTACATTATTGTGATATCATTTTATGTATTTTCTACTTTCAGATCAATGTTGATATCATGACTTTTAGACACTGAGTTCTGGCCTCAATTTCTCTGGTGTGTTAAATATTTCCAAATTCATTGGAACTTAATCCTTGCTATTTCCTTTTGTTCATATTTGACTATGGTTTACTACAAATGATAGAATAGAATAGAAGTTATTTATGTCAGTTGAAAGAGCATTAATTCAGTTTTACAACGGTTATAATAATGTTGAGTTGGAAGAAAATCCTGAGGACTTATGAATGCTTTAGTTGAGGGCTGAAAAAAAAAAAAAAAAATCATCCTAGAAAATCAAGTACTAAAGGTTGAATCAATCCATTTAAAAACACCCAGACCATGTTGCTAGAATTTTTTTATTTTTATAATTTTTTTACCAGTTATTCCAAATTTATTTGAGAGTTAGAAGCCATAGTTAAAAAAATTTAAGGCTCCATAGTTTTTTCTCGGTGGCTATTTTTAATTTTCTTTTTGACTGAAAACATTTTAGAAAAATAAAAACTGAAATAATTCAGAGTATTTTTTCTACATTTCTGTTCATCAATAAATCACCTAAAAAGAAAGGAAAGTTGTTTAAAAAATCATGGAAATAGACAAAAAATTACTTTTAGGGCTGCAAAGGTGAAATAAATAAAGTACTCACGATTTTATTTTTATCTTCATATGTAGTCCTACCACTGTGCTTGTTTCTGATGAAATTTCAATCCTGAAAACCTTGTCCTTTTTTAAATATGAATTTTCAAAAACGCTCAAAAGTCGATTTTTGATGGTATATATCACAAAAGGGACTGAGTGAAAAATTATGAAATTGATACTGTTTATACCTCTTAATGATGGGAATATGTGATGCAAATTTGATCATTAGGACTCAACTGGTTCTATCAGTTCTAGCGCAACAAATATGGCTGTCTAGTAGTATGAGTCGGTACCAGTGTATCCTACCTACTCTAACTGTGGCATTTTAAGGCTTAAGGCTTAATCCGATTAGCCAATTTTAAGGAAAAAGTTGCTGTAACATCTGAGGCATATAAAAACTTTGAATATACAATTTCACTTTCTTACGACTTTTTATTTTTGCGCTGGACTACTAACACACACACACACACACACAGATCATTTAGTGGAAAGTGGTTATTTTGACTAAGGAGACCTCAAAACATGTATTTCCGTTGAAAACTCAGATTGAAAAATTTTCATGACCGCAATACTTACCCTTACTATATATTTCATATTTAGATAAGTGAAAGTAATAAAATTATTATGATGTTTTACTCTATTTTTTTGCCCTCACAATATATCTCATTAGTGAGGAAAGATGTTAAAAAAATATATTAAAAAACCTGGTGCTGCGCGCAACACACAACTTTTACTTACTCTTCTACTTTTGAATAGAAATTATTTTCTGGCAATGTTCGGCTATTATAAAATTTTTGAAGTGCATTTTAAACAGATCTAAAGCTTAAAGCTTACAGATAACAAATCATTAAGACCATTAAAATTACAAAAAGTCTATTTATTATATTGATGGTAGGCAATAAAAATCTATTTTTATGAGCCATATAACTTCAGTCTCTGAGCCTTTCAGCTGACAGAATAACTTACTCCAATTTTAACATTTTTGAGTAATGTCATTTTAGTGATATTTCTAGTTGGAAAAGTTATATCTATACAAACAGTGAGTAAGTTCATTCTCAGAGTAGGTGATTGCAGTGTTAATAAATTTTGCCACTAGAAACATCACTAAAATTAATAATAAAGAATGTTGAAATTGGAGTTAGTCATTCTGTCAACCAAAAGGTTCATGTATGCCTAGAGAGATTTGAAAGTAGATGTGAATATTTAGCCTATAAATGATTGTAATACTGGGTTGTACGATTATGGGATTATGCCAAAGTCGAGCTCCCGAACCAAACTTGGGTGCCTAACAGGACCATCCCAACTATCACAAGGATAGAAGTGATAGGCTCTGTCGTCAGCGAGTCCCATCTGATTCCCCAGGGAGTGCCACATGGAGGTTACATTAGGCATTGGTATGGATATGGAGATTTGGAAACTCACTTGCAGTGGGAAGGTCACTATTGCTCGATCACTTCGCAAAGAGTGGAGAAGACCCACATCCATCACCCTCTACCACATCCACCTCCCATTGCCATAACCATTTGCCCCCCCCCCCCTCCCCTGTGTTCTGGTGTAAGTGGTTCTGATTTCTTATATTATGCCACCAATTTTGAATTTAATGTGCTAATTATGAATAATGACATCGATTTGAGCATTTTTCTTACCACATTCTTACTATTTTGAAAAAAAAAAAATAAATAAATAAATGAACATTTTTGTTTCTTTAAAGGATTATCAAATAACAAGAAGGATAGTGAATGCCTCCCTGTAAAAAGTGGAATAGTGATGGATTTGGACGAAGAAGCCGATCGTGGTGAAGATAGTCAAACTGGCAAAACATCTGAGTCTACAGTACAGGTTAATTTTCATATTTTTTTCAGAAAGATTTTCTTTTTACCTTATTAAAATATATTAAATAATGTTTTCACACAGTTCAGGATTTTAATTAGTCACTAAACAAGTTTAATAATTTTTTCTTAAAGGAAAGCAATACAATTATAAAAATATATAAGTAAATGTTTAAATGGACATCATAAATTAAACTATAGATTGTTAGATGGGTATAAAGAATGAAAAGAAATAATGAAGAGAAGAATAGTTGGGGTGGTCAGTCAAAAAGGAAGGCAAAAATAAATGGTAATATTTATTTTTACATATGCTGACGTTTCGACCTGAAGTTCAGGCCTTCATCTTCATTCTAAGATCATTTTATTCAATATATCATTTTATTCAATTATGCCCTTCATCATTTTATTCTAAGATTCCCATCATAGCACTTATGTCACCCTTTTTGATTATGCCTACTTCATCATTCCACACTTTGTAACGGTTATTATTATTTATCTCTTTGTTCTTAGTCATTATTCTAACAATTTCATTTTACTTTATATTTATTTATTTTATTTTTATTTTTTTAAATATTTTTTATTATTATTTTTTTTTACCATCACTACTTATGTTTCTCATGCCTTGTTATCTGGTTATTTTCTTAGTCCTGATGAAGGCCTGAACTTCAGGTCGAAACGTCGGCATATGTAAAAAATAAATATTATCATTTATTTTTGCCTTCCTTTTTGACTGACCACCCCAACTATTCTTCTCTTCATTATCCACTACAGTCAACCAATTACCAATTATGAAAAGAAATAATCTTAGTATACAAATTTTTTACTGTAAATTAAGTTTTTATGTCACGAGATTACTTTTTCTCATGGATGTTAATTTTGGTTGTGTACTACTTCTAAAATTTACTCTTAAATTTGATTTTATTTTAATTGAAGAATAAAGAAAATATCTAATTAATTATACAATAATTTAATTTCTTGTTTTTTAAACATTGATTTATTTAAATATTCTTTTACATGCATTTATCCATATCTGAATGTATTATAGTTTAGTCCTGTTAAATTATTATCAATGATCACAAATCTTTTTGAGTATTAGTGTAAGAAACATTCTATTCATTATTTTGTTTTAATTTTTTAAATTACCTAATTTTTGAGAACAGTACGAAACTTGTAGCTATAATACATCCCAAGATATAGCTCTTCACAAAGAATCAAACAATGTTTACTAATAAATTTTAAACGTTAAAATTCTCTATTGATCTTGCTTGCTTATGTAACAAGTAAACAATGAATCCTATAACAAAGTTTGACATTAACTTTTGAAGTTTAAGACCAAACTTATTCTGCCAGATACCTCTAGGCACTAAGATATATCAATTTAAAAAAATAAAAAACAAATGGTTCTAATTTAGGTAACATTTTACCTGTTACATTTTCAGTATCTCTGCCAGTTTATTAACATATACGAATACATTTAGAAGCACTTTATGTATAAAACATAATTGCAGATACATCTTAATGATATTTTTTTTTTTTATAAAAACGATAGGAGGGTTGGGTTTCCTTTTTGTTGTCATTTGCTCTCCTACCCCATCATTGGGCCCCAAAATAAAACTTTTAGCTGTACTAATATTTCCTGAGACAATGTTGCTTGGATTTTAAGATTAAAAACATATATTTGAAAATTCAAATTCCTAATTGGTATCAGCTAAATAATGTAGTTGTGTGCTTTCCAAACTGTGTAATCTATAACTTTCATATTTACATCATTTGGTTTAGAAATTACGAACTTGTGAGTAGTTGTACTTAATGTTTAGTTTTATCACATATACTTTATTTTGTTTGTATTTATGGTTGTAGGAAACTGTTCAGAAAGAAGACGGTCAGGAAGATAATGTTACAGAACAGACTCATCATATTATTGTTCCTTCATATTCTGCTTGGTTCGATTATAATTCAGTTCATACTATTGAAAAACGAGCTTTGCCTGAATTTTTCAATGGAAAAAATAAATCTAAAACCCCTGAAATCTACCTAGCATATAGGAATTTTATGATTGATACATATAGACTGAATCCAACAGAATATCTTACGTCTACTGCGAGTAGAAGGAATCTGGCTGGCGATGTTTGTGCTATCATGCGTGTCCATGCATTTTTGGAACAGTGGGGTCTTATCAACTACCAGGTATCTATATTATATCTATCTACCTATCTATTGTAACATCTATCTTATTTTTAAACTAGTTATATACCTTGTGGAAGCTCACTTTATACTGTTGGGTTACTTCCAAAATAAATAAGATATTTTAAAATAAAAAACAAAATTATAAGAATATTAATATAATAAACTGAAATTTACAATTATTCTATCTCAGGTATGGGTTACTGACAATCAGATCAAAACATTCAAACAAACTACACTTAACACTGTTTGATTTTAAAATAAAGTCAAATATGGATTGGCAAGCTAATCTTTTTTCTATAGATACTGTTTCTTCCTTTGTTTCATTAAATTCATTTGTCTTCAAATGCTTTCCAATCTTCATCCGTACATAATTTCAAAAATGTTGACACTTCCTTCTACTCAACTCAAGCTCCCTGGGAGATCCTCTCAGAGAATCTCTGGGAACTACTACAGAGCAGATATTTTCTTTCCTCTGAACTAGTGGAACTAGATTAGTTTGCTTTTTAACTGTTAATTAATTAATTTATTAAATCATTTTTATTAACTTTCAATTAAGGTGTATACTACACAATATATATGTGTGTGTATATATATATATATATATACACACATCTAGTGGAACTAGATTAGTTTGCTTTTTAACTGTTAATTAATTAATTTATTAAATCATTTTTATTAACTTTCAATTAAGTTTTAATATGTGTGTGTATATATATATATATACACACATATATATAAATATATACATATACCGGTACTGGTAGGTACTTGATGGGGAGACCTAGTCCGGCAAGTGGGTCCTATCGTGATTCTTTTTGCCAACCCCTGACGGCTACCTTGCAGTTTCTTGCGTTTACCTTGGTACTTACTTGAGTGGAAATGTCAAGATTCTTTTCCCTGGGCCGCTGAGAAATAAAAATTAACCGACTCAGGTGGGAATCGAACCCACAACGTTCAGAACCGAGCACTCTTGGGACCTACACCTTAATGTGCTCACCCATTCTGTCTATATATAGTATTTTTACTTATAAAATTGTATGTAAATTTTGATCATCTTTTAATTACATTTTAATGAGATTCTCCGTTCGGGCACCCAAATGTTATATGTTGTAAAATAAATATTAAAAATATATAAATAAAATTTGATTTATTTTATAAGGTAATTTTAAAATTGGTATTAAAATTAATAAATTACTAAGTCTATTAAATATAATTTGGAGATTTATAATAATTAGATTAAATACCATAGCAGCCTAATATATAGCATTAAATGATAACTATTTCATTAGATATCATTATTAGTTGATAAGTTTGACATGTGTAATTAGAATAACTTTTTAATGTTGAGTGAAAATTTTGTATTTCTTTTATAAACATCATTGGTTTTATAATATCTATAGTTGGCTTACTTTAAATGCTAATATGGATTTAAATGAATAAATCTTCAATTATTAATTTATTAGAGATTTTAAGTTGATATAATATTAATATTTTTGTAATTATCATTTCAGGTGGATGCAGATAGCAGACCAACTCCCATGGGACCACCACCAACTTCACATTTCCATGTGCTTGCTGATACACCATCAGGTTTAATGCCTGTTAACCCCCCAAAGACACAGCAGGGTTCGGCTGCCAAAACACTTCTTGATATGGGTCAGACTAAGCCAATTGTGAAGTCTGAACCTGATCTCGGTGGAAATTTCGGATTAAAACTGGATCAGTGAGTTATAGTTTTTAAAAACTTTTTTGTATTAAACAAACAAATAGCTGATTCAATTATGTATTCTTTTTATATTGACAGGAAAAATTAGATTAGATTTCTTTATTTATTGGGTTTATAACCCTTAAGTTTTCCTTGCAACATTTTAGAATCATCATGTGAAACATGCACAGCTTTGATTTTTCAGAATCTTTCGTATTATATCTCTAGATTGCATTCAGAGGATCCGTATTCGGTCGTTTTATCCTTTCATCACTTGTTAGAAATAGAAAAATTAACTTTATTCTGGGATTAAGTCCCTTAATCCCAAACAATAAAAATAGAAATGATCATCAATTCTGGTCATAAGACCAATTTCATTATAAGAAATTAAAATAAATACGTAAATATGTATATAATTGTAAATATTCTGTCCTGTTCAATTTGGCATTAGAACATGCCAAGGGAGGTAATGCGAACCGAGAAAGGGTTGGATCTGGGCGGGACAACATCCGTGCTGGGCTATGCTGATGATCTGGTACTGTTAAGCGAAGACGTTGAAACTATAAAACTAAATACGGCAACGTTAATGAAAGCCAGTAAAGAACTAGGACTCGAAATAAATGTGGATAAAACAAAATATGTGGTTAGCTACAAAAATGGCGATACTACTGGTGATATCGATATAGATGTTAATATGTTTGAACAGGTAGAGAAATTTAGGTATCCAGGTTCTACGATAACTAGAAAAAACGAAATTGAAGAAGAGATTAAGGTTAGACTGAAGGCGGGAAATACTTGTTATTTTTCTGTAACAAAACTACTTAGTTCGCACCTCTTGTCCCGGAACTTAAAAATTAGAATCTATAAAACAATTATCTTGCCTACAGTTCTTTATGGATGCGAGACTTGGCCACTTACATTAAGGGATGAGCAGCGTCTTAAGGTTTTTGAAAATAAAGTATTGCGTAGAATATTCGGACCGAAGAAGGATGAGTTAACCGGAGAGTTCAGACGGTTACACAACGCCAAATTGCGTGAGCTGTATCCGGCTAATATAATTGAGGTAATTTCATCGCGGCGAATCAAATGGGCTTGTAAAGTTGTTGGGCTTAGTAACGAGAGAATTCCTAAAATGTTAATATTTGCTGTGCCGAATGGTAAACGTCCGAGGGGTAGACTGAAGCGAAGGTGGGAAGATTGCATTAAAGCCGATCTGAAGGGACTGGGTTTGGACAGCGAACGGTGGAGGGAGGTGTGTAATAAGCGATTGGTGGTGTCAGCATCAAACCTTCGGGTTCGCTAAGCCTTTTATTATTATTATTATAAATATTCTTCTCTTCTCAATCAATTCCTCTTCTACCACTAGATCAGTGTAGAGGATCCTGTTTATAGAGCTTGATCCATTTATCTCGTTCCCGCACCAGCTGACTGCGTCTATTCCAATTCATTCCTCTCCTATCGAAATCCTCCCTGACTGAATCTTTAGGTCTTTCTGGGCCTTCCTCTTGGCATTCTTTTGACATGGCCAAACCAGCATAGCCTGTTTTCCTCAATTGTGTTTTCTGCTGGTTTTATTCCCAAATTGGATCTTATTGTTGTATTCCTAAATTTTGTCCCTCCTAGTTTTCCCCTCTATTCTCCTCAGAAATCGCATTTTCAATGCTTGGATATTGCTTTTATGTTTTGAGATTAGAGTCCAGGATTAACTTCCGTAAATCAGTATGGGAACAAATGTATTTCTGTACACCGTCTTCTTGACATTTTTTGACACTTCTCTCTTTGCTAAGAAGCCTGTTTTTAGTGAATGGAAGCATTTGCTGGCCAGTTTTATTCTTTCTCTGATTTCACCATCTATCCAACCGTTCTCATTTAGGTGGGCTCCCAGATACTTAAAATCTTTAACGTGCTCCAATTCCTCCTTCTTCAATCGAAGTACTCTATCTCCCCTCTCTTCTCCTCTTCCTATTCTCATAATTTTTGTCTTGTGACTGTTTATTTCCAGGTTGAACAGTTCTAATTCTTCCTGTAGGATTCGGAGGTTGTATTGGAGGTTTCTTCCGTTGTTCCCGAATACCACGATATCGTCGGCATATGCCAAAAGAGTGAGATGAACTGGTTGTAGCTCTCTGTGGCCCAACCTAAAAGGTCTCACTCTTTCCTTAGCTCTCTTCAGTGCCATGTTGAGCACTATTATAAACAATAAAGGGCTTAGACTACAGCCCTGCCTTATTCCTTGGGTGCTCTGAAACTCCCTAGAGGTGTGTTTATTGGTTCTGACCACGCTTATTTTCTTTTTATATAGGCTAAGAATGGCCCTTGCTAGGCCTGGATCGACTTCATGCTCATTCAGTGCTCTGTCTATGTCCGTTTTCCTGACCTTATTGAATGCTTGGGTTAGGTCCACGAAGGAGGTATATACCTCTTTATTCTTTTCCACGAGCTTTTCCGAGAGCTGCCTCATTACGAATATTAAGTCTTGGGTACTTCTTTGTGGTCTGAAGCCGTATTGTTCTTCTTCTAGGTCTGTCTCAATGAATCCTCTTAGTCTCTTCTCCAGAATCTTAGAGTATATCTTGCATGGTACACTAAGTAGTGAAATGCCTCTGTGGTTTCGGCATTCCCGGTAGTCTCCTTTTTTATGAATTGGTACTATGACTGAAATTTCCCAGTCCTTCGGTACTTTTTTTCCTTTTCCATACCAAATTCAGTAGATGCTGAAACATTTCCTGCCCTTTTGCTCCCATATACTTCAGCATTTGGGGGGTTATACCGTCTATTCCTGGCGATTTGCCCATTGTCAGGCTGTCAATTGTATCTGCTATTTCCTCTTCTCCTATGAAATCTTCCTCGTCCTTGTTCTCAGTGACATCTTCATTGATATTTTGTTCCAGCATTGACAAACTACCTGTATCGTCATTCAGCACCCTCTCAAAGTATTCAGTCCATCTATTCATTATTTTATTGGTATTTGTTAAAATAATACCTTCCTCATCTTTTATGTGTTTTATAATGGGCTCCTTTTCCTTCCTCATATTTCTTAGGCATCTGTAGAAGAGCTTCTGATTTCCTTTTGCATCTTCCTCTAACTTATTTCCGAAATCTTCCCAAGCTTTTCTCTTCGACTGTAGGACTTTTTCCTTTGATGTTTTTTGTCTGAAAATACCGCTTCCATAATTCCTTCTTTCGTCTGATTTCACTTTTCACCCCTTCGTTCTTTTCACCAGGCTGTTCCTTTTAATCGTTGGCCAACATCGGTTTTTCCACAAGCCTCCTCTGCTGCTCCCAGCAATATTTGCTTGATTGCTTTCCAGCTTTCCTCTATTTCGTCAGCATCCCATTGATATTCGCTGCTAGTTGCTTTTACTTCTATTGCAGACCTATATGCTTCTGCAACGTCTTGTGCTCTAAGCTTGTAATTATTTATTTTTGTGGTTTTGCTAGGTCTTGATTTTTCTTTCTTTGTGTTTGGGTCCTCTAAAATCATATCCAATGTTAGCAGCATATGGTCTGTCCCTAACTCGTATCCTCTCTTGACTCTGACGTCCTTTGTTCTCCTTATTTCCTCTTTTGGGACCAAGAAGTAGTCAATGATAGATTTTTCGGTTCTGGAGGGTTCTGCTCTTTTTTTTTTTTTTTTTTTTTTTTTTGTGGGTCCTTCCCTTCCTCGCCGTTAAGGCTATACGGGATTTTCCCGGGCCAGGGAGTGTGGGCGGGGATTTAAAAGACTCCCCCGGCACCGGGACGCGAACTCGTGACTATTTTTATATCTTTGCATTCATATGTCAGGTTGCCAGGCAACGGCGGTGCAGTGCACACGCTTTAGCCCATTCGGCTACCCCGCCCACTAGGGTTCTGCTCTTGTGATTTGGTGTATTTCCTTGTGAGGGAAAAAACTGTTCGCCACTGTTAGCCCGTTTGCTAGGCAGAGGTTTAAAATTCTCTCTCCATTATCATTCCTGAAGTTTTCACCATGCCCCCCTAACACTCCATGCCATCCATTGGTTTCCTTTCCCACTCTTCCATTAAGGTCTCCCATAATGATGGGGGTTCGCGTACTATCATCTAACCTCTTTTGTAATTCGTCGAAGAAACTTTCTTTATCTCTATTATTATTTAATAATTATAAATATACATATTAAAAAACATATATTAGTTTTAAGTTATGAAAATATATAAAAGATGCCATATGTATAAAAAGGAAAAGAAAATGCATTATTTTGGGCATTCATCATCATCATAAATGGCTCTACAACTCTTGCTGAGTCAAGGCCTCCTGCAATTTCAACCGCCAGTCCTCTCCAAGTAATGCTGCTACCTTCCAGTTGTGGACACCAATGATACTTTGGGTGTCAGCTTTCACTCCATCAGCCCATGTGAGTCTTGGTCTGCCTATCCGCCTTGTGGCGAAGATCTCCTCATCCATCTACTTCCTTAGCACATGTTGTTCAGACATACGGATAATGTGTCCCGCCCATCTCAACCTGCCAATTTTCATTAGCCTCACAACATCGGCTTCTTTATATAGCTGCATCAGCTCATCGTTAAATCGCATTCGTCGCTCCTGATTAATATTTATTATTGGGCCGAATATTCTTCTTAGGACACGACATTCAAACCGAAGGAGAGCTGTTTCTTGGGCTCTTGACATTGTCCAGCACTCTGACCCATATGTTAGTAGTGGTCTGATCAGGGTTTTGTACAGGAGCAGCTCGGTTTTACGAGAGATCACTCTACTTTTGAGATGTCACTGGAGACCAAAATAAGCTCTATTTGCGGCCATGATGCGCCTCTGTATTTCAGAATTCATGTCGTTATTTACATTAACTTGCTAGCCAGTCTTCTTCTGGATCGAATAAAGGAAAGTTAAATTTTTGTATTGCAACATTTTTGTTTTCTGTTAAATCTTCCGTTTCTAGGATGTTTATCTTTCTTTTTCGAGGCATGTATATTTTTTTCTATATGTCTGCAGCGCCACTTTTATATTTTTAAATACAATTTAAAATAATTGTTTTAATTCATTTATTCAATCATCCAAAACCTGTTCACATCAAATAAGAAACACATGTTCTTTTTAAAATAAAATGATTTAGGCAATTAAATTGCAACAGAAAACATGAACCAATTTAACACTCCGCTAAAACACACGAAATATAAGATTTAGGATATACTTCACCTTCCCGTGTGTCATTGATTTAGTTTAATTCCAATCTGGAATTACAAAACCTACTACCATCTCATACTCCTATTTCTTTATGACATCTTCTTTTATTGGAACACCACCTGGAGCATTCAATTTTGTGATAAGTTGTCATAGGATGACGCTAAGAACATAATCTTTTTTGATGAATTAGTCATTTTACTTGTAAAAATCTAATTCTTTTTAGCACTTTCAAAATACTTATGTTAATGAAATAAGCCATAGTAAATAAGAAATATATCAAGGTTAATAAGATTACGTAAACAATAATATAAATATTGTGAGGTGTTATATTTCTCTGATATTACTAAATGTAACTGGCTGGGATACGTCAAAAAAGAACCATGGTAGGTGCTGAGAGATCTTTTCCTGGCAGAGGCACTGTAGGATCTTATTAACTTAATTTTACATATCTCTCCTTGAGCATACAAGGAGGAAGAGTCAAAGAGCATTTTGGCTGCTATTTGTATGCCAGTTGTTTTATAATTTTTTTGTGGTTTTACAAAACTAAGTTTACACCCAAAATATTGCACTTGCTTAGTTACAACCTAGCTTAGCTTCCCCTTATCCACCGCAGATACTGGATATTATATTTCGGATTTCTTATTGTTATCAGTCATGGAATTAATTCCGAAGGATCCTTTCATTCTAAGAGAGCATAATTTCAGTAAGCAGCCTAAATTTGATTTTTAATATTTCCCTAATGAATCTATTTTGCTATTTGTCATTTTCAACACTTTCAAGGTTTTTAAAATTTAAATATTAAAAATATATAGACTTTTGAAAAAATAAAATTAATTTACTACTTCATTTCAGTCAATATTCCTGTCAAACAAAAGGCTACTGGTACTGGGTGGGGAGAACTAGTCCAGCAAGTGGGCCTATAGTGGTCCTTTTTGCCAACTCCTGATGGCTACCTTTAAGGTTGCCTCCGCGTACTTGCCAGAGTGGGAATGTAACGATGCATTTCCCAGGGCTGCCAAGAAATGAAAAGTAACCGACCCAGGTGGGAATCGAACCCACAACGTTCAGAACCAGGCAGTCTAGGATCCACATGCCAACGTGCTCGCCCATCCTGTCCTCAAACGAAAGGCTAAGAAATTGAACATATAAAAGGGGCTAAATTCAATTTTCCAGTAATTATCAATTTATGAAAGTAAATAAATCGAAAACTATAACAAGTACGGACTAGTTTCTTCCACCCTGACTTGGACATTTAAATCAATGTAATTGGGTCACTATAGTAAATATATCATAAACTACAATAAATATGGACTTGGACATTTAACACATTAGCTGTGGTTATGTTTCCTGGGTTCCAGTATTCATCACGATTTCTGCCAGGATAGTTTCGAATTTTGCCTATCTTATGAAGTCTCTAAAATGGTCATTTTAAAAAATATTTTAATGGGAGTTGGATAAATGTAAAAATAGATACAAACATAAATAATCATTATGTCATTAGATGACGGGGACCGTAACCGCAGCTAACGTGTTAAATCACTGTAATTTGGCCACTCTAGGAATTAATCAGTTTCTCTAAGCAGTTCCTTATTGGTCCTTCTCCTTGTGTCAATATTCTGATCTCAGATCACTCTGGTTGTATTGCAGAAATAATAATCAGGTAAAATGAAAAAGAAAAAAAAGCGTTACGTTTAATCATGGATTGATGAGAACGTTGTGCAGTATAGCAACCTTATGTATTTTTAGGCAGCATTGCTCATCAATAAGGTCTTTCTCTTATTTCAGGTATGCCAAGAAACCTGCTGTTTTGAAGAATAAGCAGGCTGCAAGTGTAACAAGGGATTGGACAGAACAAGAAACTTTGTTATTGCTTGAAGCATTAGAGTTGTATAAGGATGATTGGAACAAAGTTTGCGAACATGTCGGTTCAAGAACTCAAGATGAATGTATTCTACACTTCCTCAGGCTTCCTATTGAAGATCCTTATCTTGAGGACCACGAAGCAGGTAAAAATATTCTTATATATTTTTTCATTAATTAATTAAAAGTTAACAACATTGATGAAAGCCAGAAAAGAATTAAGTCTCAAAATAAATCTGTGTAACTAAATCTACGTTTTATAGCAGAAATAATTTTTCTGATATAGGAGTAACAGGTAATACATGTGAATAGGTAAAGAAATTTAACCGTTTACAGACCTTTTTTCCAAATTGGAACATAATTATAACAATAATAAGCTTAGCAAAGCCTAAGGTTCGCTGCCAATATCACTAATAACTGTCTACACAGGTTTTTCCACTGGTCACCATCCAAACCCAACGTCACCAGATAAGCCTTAGCACAACCTCCTCACCTTCGCTTCGGTCTATCCCTTAGATGTTTACCAGTTAGTTCAGTTCTCGTTAACCTTTTAAGGATTCTTTCATTACTAATCCCAACTTCTTTACATGGCTATTTTATTATCCGCAAATGTAATCATTTCAATTATATTAAAAGGGTACAGTTCACGCAATTAGGTGTTTTGCAAGTGCCTAAATTCTCTGCTTGACTCATTTTTCTTCGGTCCGAATATTTTATGTAATACTTTATTTTAAAAAACCTTAAGACATTACTCATCCCTTAATGTAAATAGCCACATTTCGAAACTATGAATAACTAGATAAGATAATGGTTTTATAAATTTTAACTTTCTGTGCTCTCAATGATCTCAAGCTATTGGAGAAAATATTTGGAAATTTTCTAAAAAAAAAATTTTTTAAAGTAAACACTAATAAATATTTTTATTGGCTTTAATAAAGTCAGAAGCTATTTTAGAAAGCAAAAACTGTTTTTGTTTTTTTCTAACTTAAGTTAGTTACGATATTTTGAAGTAAATGAAACATATTTCTTTCTTATAGAAAAAATGTTCGATATGAATAAAAAAAAAATCTTGTGCGATGTGTGCAACAAACAACTTTTTCTTACAATCCTATTTTGAGTGAAAATAAAGAATTTTTCATCATTTGATATTTTAGGCTCAAAACATCTAAGTAATTAACGCCTGTAATAAAGTAATACTACTATTAAAATATTTTGATGATAACAATTGAAAGTAAAAATCATAGAGGGTGCAAAATATTTTTTTTTTTCACATTTTATATTTAAATATGTTTATTCATTATCTGAATTATGAAATAGTTATTTTTTTAAAACAAACAAAATTAAAGGTACTTTAGAGGAAGACATTTTTGAAAATTTACATTTATGCCACCCTGTTTGTGAACATCAATGAGGATAAAACTTATATTAAAAAATAAAAAACACTTAATTGTACTTTTCTTATAGCTATCATTTCACCAGTAAACACTGAGCAAGCCTCCAGAAGTTAAAATAGTTTTCGAGTATGAGAGTGCATTACCGAGCATCCTACTTTCTTATCTACTTTTGAGGTATCCGTATACAAGATGTTACACTCCTTGTATTTATCCAAGTTTTCTAATAATTGTTTTTGTGCTTTAACTGGAGGTGCCATATCCTTTTTACATCTGGCGATTGAGATATGTTTAATTGGTGAGGCGTGGGTCCATCGGGAGATTATTAGATCCGGGGCACATTCTGAACATTTTCTATTTTTATTTTCGGAAAGATACTAAGAAGATCTACGAAGTTTTTCTCCCACGCATTTCCCATTCCCTCACTACAGAATAATATTTTATTTAGTATGTGTTTTGAATTGGTCTTGATTTTTAGTCCGTAATTCATCGTCATTAGCAACCTTCTGAAGTATAGAGGAGGTTAACCAGCTTTTGCATATAGGCTTTCTATATAAGAGATTGATAATGCCCCCGTATAACTTCTTAATATTGAGTTGTGTACCACATCCAATATCCTTAAAGTTTTGTTTGAAGCAGAGCCGTAAATGCTTAAACCATAGTCTAGTTCACGTCTGATGGTTGCCTGATATATACTCAATAGACTTTTTTTATCCATTCCCCAAATCGTGTACGATAAGTATTCGAGCATAGCAACCCTTTTGAGGCACTCTTCTTTAAATAGTTTTATATGCATTGTCCATCTAAGCTAGTGGTCCATCTCCATTCTCAAATACTTAAGACTGTCAAAGAATGTAATTTTAGCACCACCCATCTGTATTTTTTGGTGTAGTTTACACCCTCTTAGTCTGAAAAAGTGCATTGCTCTGGTTTTGCTAACAGATAGACTAAAGCCACTCTTTATTGATCATGTTTCCACACTATTTAGTGCTTCTTACACTTTTCACTTTAAAAATTCTATTCGATTTACTTCTATAGAGCAGCAGTATGTCATCTGCATACAGAGTGGTTTTCCAGGTTTGACAGAGACAGCCACTGTCATTTTTTTTTTCCTTGTTCTTCCCTACCTCGCATTTTTAGGCTATACGGAATTTTTCCAGGCCGGAGGGTGAGGGCGGGGAATTTAAAATCCCCTCCGACACCAGGATGCGAACTCGTACTTTTAAAAAAAAATCTCATAACTTTGGTTGCCTGGTAATTCGCGGTACTGGGTACACGCGTTATCCCATTCAGCCACCCTGCCCTCCTGACGCTATGTCATTTATTGCGATCTGAAAGAGCGTCACGCTGAGTGGAGAACCTTGAGGAGTGTAAATAGATGATTCTGAGGTTCCAACCTTTAAATTGTCTAGAAAGTTTGTTATGTAATTAAATAATTTTCCTTTGATGTTCCACCTTCTTAGTATATCCAAGACTCGCCATCTCCACAGTGTATCACAAGCTTTTTAGATATCCAGAAATATGGCAATAAGGTGTTGCTTCTTGGGCTTCCCATTTCAGCAATCAGGCGGAGTCAGTTCTGGTGTGATCTTCCCTGAAGCCTAATTGGTACAGGGTGATATTTAATTTATCATTTCAATTTTGTTTATTTATTTATTTTTTCTTTCTTTTTGTCTTATTTATATATGTATAGAGTTCTTTTTCTCTTATTCAATACCTATTGAATTGACCGATTCCGAATGAATTACAATTCTTTCGCGTGAATTACTTGAGAGTACGATTCTTTCAGAAAAAGCTACTCTTTGATTTGATTCTCGATTCACCTACCCATCTGTTGTATAGATGTACTTATTTTTTTTTTTTTCTCCTTATCTTCATTAAATGACTTTAAATTAGCCTTTTCTTTTCTAATTTTGCTAAGAGCACCTTCTCTATTTCATATCAAAAATAGCTGGTTTGTCCACATTTCTTTCCAGTTTTAGACAAAATTAAACAACTTCAAATATGTTCCTAAAAAATTGAATTAGCATTATTTTCTCGACTTATACTACCAAGTGACATACCATGAAAAATATGTATATATCATGTGTCACATGTTGTATATACTTATTTTATATACATATGTGTTAAGAAATAATATTTGTGGATATTGCGGAATTCTAAAATCGTCCATTCGATCCACATGACAATAATAATCCTAGTGCTGTGATAAGTCTCTGAAAAAAATTAGGATATAGAAGAATCCACTACCACCATTTCATTCGAAAGCTGAAGACAACATAAAAACAGTGTGTAAAAATGGTACAATTAACAGCATCCGAGTATTAATCTTTTTCTATAAACTGAAAGGAAAACACAATAACTATTATGTCCATTTAAGTTTTTGGTGTTTAATCAAACTCGTAATGTATCTACAATCATAATGATCATAAGATTTTATTGTTATTTAAAATTCATTTTTACGTTTTTATTGGCCATTAATGACAACATAATCATTGTTCAAATAAGCATCTGAAATTATTCAGAGAAGTGATTAGAGTAAAATGTCTTTCATTACATAAAGTAAACAGCATTCAACATTTAAAATCAGTGTATTAAATACAATGCGCTGTAACTTAGCTGAAACTGATCTGATTTGGAAGATTTTTTTTTCTAGTTTTGTCAGACAGTTTCTTACTAATTTGCCAAGGTTTGGGGGAGAGGGAAGGAGGGAAATTAGTTCTCTCTCCAGATAACAAATAATCGTGAAAGCACTGTAGCATTATGGGATTTCTCTATCAAACCATTTTTTTGCTCCTTATCTCTTGGCCACTTTATCTTAATTCTGGGCAAGCTAAGAAATACCTCTAGCAGCTGCTAGGTCACATGAACGGCATGTGTTATGGTAACTCCAACCTATCCTGGTGGATATGGTTATCTTTTGTTCTTACCTATCTGCAACTACTATAAGGGTTTGTTACCCAGACATAAATAATGGGAAAATAAAACTGTAATGACAGAGCTCTGCTGCTTACGATTTTTTGTTGTGTTGTTTCCATTACAATTATACGAGCATCATAATCTAGCAATTTATCGCCATAATACTCCTACCCTACCTACCTACCTCTGTCACAAATAAAAATATATGTCAATATTTTACTTAAATAATTTTTTATATTTAAAAAAATATTTGTTTGTACAGGAGGGGCACTAGGCCCTTTGACGTATCAACCGATACCCTTTTCAAAGGCTGGAAATCCAATCATGTCTACTGTAGCGTTTCTTGCATCTGTAGTTGATCCGAGAGTGGCATCTTCAGCTGCAAAAGCAGCCATGATTGAGTTCGCCAACATAAAGGTACTTTTTGCCATTTGAGTATTCATATATACTAGATAGTTTTTGTTTCTGTCAGTGCTCATTAAAATAACTAATATAAAATTGTATGGTTTTGAATTAAATGAAAACAAATTGGTTTACTTTATTATCGTGTTTTGAATAAAAGTTGAATTTAATTTTGGATATATTACTTATGAAGTAATATATCCAATATGTAGTAATAAAAGATGTGTATCATTTTATGAACTATTGTAAAACATTTTCTGTGCCTATTTGTACTTTTTAAAATGCCATCAGGAGTAAAAACTAATTTTATAGAAGATGGGCACAAATAATTATGAAAATAAGATCAAGATTATGGTATCAATAAAAAATCAGCAGGCTCATAGGTATACTATCTGTGAGTTGTTGGTGCAGTTTTTAAGTGTTTACAAGTTTTCAGTGTCTCTGTTCTGTTGAGAAGCATAATGCTTGAATGTAATAGAGCCTATCTCTCCTTCTAAAACATATTCAATATGCAGACTTGTAGCTTGTTTCGCCTATTTTACTCTACAGGGTGTTTCAGGATTAAGTGACCAAACTGCAAAAATGAACTAAGGACCTCAAAATAAGAAAAAAAGTTCTCTGAAGGTATGTCTGCAAACACTTTGTTTAGGAGATATTCACAAGTAAAGATTTTCGTTGTTATGAATTATCTACTTTATATGAAATGAACAAAACCTATTTATTTGTTGTAACTACTTTATTAATTAAATGTAAACATTAACATTCATATTAAATGTTTATCCAGAATCAAATGAAGGTATGTCTGTAAATGCTGTTGTTTAGGAGGTAGGATGGATTAGATAGAATACTAATATGGCCTTTTATCCCTAACTGTATAAAAACTATTGGCAACATAAGGATTAATACTATTTCTTATTAGCATTGGGAACTCTCAATAATATTTATCAGTTTGTAAGAGCCTTTCGCAGAATACTCATCATTATGCCTTCTATTTATAATAACAGTGAATATGCAGATATGATGTTTGTATACAGTTTTTTCAATGGTAATGCTAATGTTGCCCTTCTTGAATATGCGAAGTGATTTCTGAATAAATGATTACCAAACAAGTCTATCTTTAGCTCTACATTTCAACGTCTTAGAGAAATTGGTACGTTTGCTATGATACTGGTATTTTAGTGCTGATGTTATTTTTGCTCCTTCACGAAATGAAGAAAGGAGTGCTACCATATTTCAATATTTGATGATAATCCATCTGGCAATGTACTAAAAGCTGGAGTAGAATTAAATATTACGCCAACTACAGTATGGAGAACTCTCATTGCTGATGGACTTCACACATATCATTATCAACGGGTACAAAATTTATTACCGCAAGATTTTCGGCAAAGAAGAAATTTTTCAGATTGCTACTTAAATCAAGTTGAGCATAATCTACAATTTTCAGGAAAAAATCTCTGGACAGATGAAGCTATCTTTACAAGAATTTTTAGGTATCTTCAATCAGAAAACTATCATCTCTGGTTGCAGGAAAATCCCCATGCAATTCGATCCATCATTTTCAGCACCAGTTTCAGTGCAATTTGTGGTTGGGGATAATAGACAATATTTTAATAATTCCGCATTTCTTGCTGCATCAACTAAATGCAGCCACATTTCTGGAATTTCTTAATAATGATTACTATTATTTAGTTGAAGATATTCCACTACATTTTTTTTCTTTTTTTGTTCTTCTCTACCTCGCCTTTTAGGCTATACGGGAGTTTCCCGGGCCGGGGGGTGAAGGCGGGGAATTTAAAAATCCCCTCCGGCACCAGGATGCGTACTCATACTTTTTAATCTTCTCAAATCTCTTATCCAGTTGCCAGGCAACTCGCGGTGCAGTGCACACTCTTTAGCCCATTCGGCCATCCCGCCCCCAGATATTCCACTAGAACTGAGAAGGTATATGTGGCTTAATAGATGATTGTCCTGCATATTACGAAAGAGGTCCACAACAATGGCTAAATGTTAATTATCCCAATCAATGGATTGGCCGTACAGGATCAGTGGTTGGTGGCCTGCATACTCTCCAGACCTGACACCACTAGATTTTTTATTTGGGGTGTCATTAAACAAAACATCTATGCAAGTCCGGTCAATGACCTTAATTCCTTATGAAAAACGATAATTGAATCTTGTGAAACAACAACACATACCCAGTACTCTTCTGCCACTGCTGCTGTTGAAGAAATATACCAAGCTAAATGAAACGTGGAGCTAAAGATAGACTAGTTTGGTAATCTTCATTCGGAAATCACTTGGCATATTCACGACGGGTAGCATTAGCATTACCATTACAAAAACCGTATACAAACACCATATCTGCATATTCACCATTATTATAAATGAAAGGCATAATGATGAGTACTCTGCAAAAGCCCCTTACAAACTGATAAATGTTATTGAGAGTCCCCAATTCTAATTAGAAATAGTATTAATCCCCTTATGTTGCCAATAGTTTTTATACAGTTAGGGATAAAAAGCCATATCAATATTCTATGTAATCCATCTCTTAAACAAAGTGTTTGCAGACATACCTTCTCTTTCAACAACATTTAATATGAATGTTAATGTTATCATTTAATTAATAAAGTGGTTAGAACAAATAAGTAGGTTTTATTTATTTCATATAAAGTAAATATTTTATAACAACAAAAATCTTTACTTGTGAATATCTCCTAAGCAAAGCGTTTGCGGACATACCTTCAGAGGAAATTTTTTTCTTATTTTGATGTCCTTAGTTCATTTTTGCAGTTTGGCCATTTTTTTTTTTTTTTTTAGCTTTAATGTTTTATTCACACCTGTCATAATGCTAATGACAACCAGTGAATGTGAGATCGATTGATTAATAGAATTGTCATGAAAGGCATGAGGAGGATCAGTGCCCAGCGGCACCTCACTCGGCGTGATATCTACATTAGGCGAGGAAGTCCCTCATCCAGCTCCTCTTCAGTCTCCTACAGACGTTACCAGGCATATTCATAGTGGCCATGTCATTTATAAGTGTATTAGTATGTCCTTGTAAGTTGTCATGGAATCGTTTGTAATGAATACGTATGTGTTCGTTAACAGTCGGCATATGGAGGTCAGTATGTAAGGTTATGTTGCTAATGTACCAAGGTGCTTTTGTAATTGTTCTGAATGTTTTTGCTTGAAAGATTTGAAGTTTGTTTAAGTGAGTCTTTTTAGCAGTTCCAAATATCTGTGATGCGTAAGTCCAAATAGGTTTTAGTAAGTAATTGTATGTGTTCAATTTCTGTCTAAGTTTTAGTTTTGAATTTTTTGAAAGAAGTGAACTCAGAATTCTTAATCTTTGATTTAAAGTTTTTCGTTTTTTGATTATATGTGGGCCCCACGTCATTTTTCTGTCAAATGTCAGACCAAGGTAGTGAACGGTGTCTGTCTGTGGAATCTGTGTATCGTCAAGGAAAACTGGAGGGCATGTTTCATGTCGAAGCGTAAATGTGATGTGCTGTGATTTGTCTTGATTTAGTCGGATTTTCCAAATTTTGAACCAGTCATGTAATCTTGTTAAATACTGTTGTAAGGTCTGTGAGGCGTATGTTGGATTTTTGTGTCTTGCTAAAATTGCTGTGTCGTCTGCATATGTCGCTGTTAAAATGTTGGGACTACAAGGTATGTCATGGGTGTATGTGATATAGAGTAGTGGAGCGAGTACTGAACCTTGAGGTACTCCTGCTGAGATAGACCTGATGGAAGATAGTTCTGACCCGTGTCGGACCGAGAAAAATCTATCGGAAAGGAAGGATTGTAGAATTAGATAATATGTAGGTGGGAGTATTGTCTTGAGTTTAAAGAGAAGACCCTGGTGCCAAACTCTGTCAAACGCTTGAGCAACATCCAGAAATACGCCAGTTGCATATACTTTCTGCTCTAGTGCTGTAGATATGTAGTCCGTTACTCTATGTAGTTGGTGTATAGTTGAGTGATGTGCCCTAAATCCAAATTGATGGTCAGGTATTATTTGGGTGTTTGTTAGTATATCAACAAGTCTTTTGTTCAGTAAGCTTTCAAAAATTTTGGAACAGATTGGTAGTAAGCTGATTGGTTGATATGAGGAAGGTGAGTTTTTGTCCTTTTTAGGCTTGTGAATCATTATTATATGTGAGTATTTCCACTGTAGGGGAAATTTAGTTGTCCTCAGTATTGCATTATAAATAGTTGTCAAAAGCACTAGAGCTTTTCTAGGCATTTGTTGGAGCACTTCAGCGTTAATCAAGTCATGTCCAGGAGCTTTTCTTTTAGGTAACTTTTTGATTTGTTCAGCAATATGTGAAGGTGTGAATGAAATAGGAGGTGAAGTTAGTTGTAAGGGCATGTCTAAAGTGTTTAGTACGTTGTTATCGTGCACAGTGTTAGTGAAGTCTGTGTGTGGTACAAAAACAGAAGAAAGATATTCGGCAAAGAGTTCTGATTTTTCTCCGTCCGTCACGGCCCAGGAATCATCTTGTCTTCGAAGGGGTGCTGACACTTCACGATGCTTAATAAGGTTTTTGGTATGTCTCCACAAGCTTCCATCGTCGGTTGAGAGATTTCTGATGTAGTTGTCATAGGTTGTTCGTTTGAATTTTCCAATCTGTCGCTTGAGTTCATTATTAAGTCTGTTGTAAGTTCGTTTATCTGATAGGAGTCTGTCAGTCTGCCATATTTTGCGAGCTCTCCTCTTCGCTCTGATCAAGTCCCTTATGTATTGTGGGTACATTGGTAGGAACTCATATTTTTGAGGTTTTGCTACTGATGAAGACCATGCTGCTTCTTGGATATTCCGTGTGAAGTATTCAAGGGCATCCTCAAGTTCTTCTTCGTTTTTAATGGATAGAAGAACAGAGAGAGCAGTGTCCAATTGGTTCCTGTACCTGTCCCAATCCATTATGCCATTGATCAGGGACAGTTTTTTTGTAGCTTCACAAGGCTCTTCAAACAATACCAAATGCAAAAGGGAATGATCAGAGCAAAGATCTGAACTCGTTGTTATAGTGTGAGGTGTTGTTCGGAGTCCTTTAGTTATGAAAAAGTCGAGTAAGTCTGGTGTTTTCCGTCTAGAAGTTGGCCAGTACGTGGTTGAATTAGGTGATATTGTGTCTAATGAAAGCTCATAAAGAACATACCTAAGATTCCTTCCTCTTGGAGTAGATAGTCTGGATCCCCAGAACTGATCTTTGGCGTTGTAGTCGCCTCCTGCAACAAAGCATCTACCAAGACGTTTAAAGAAATTACTAAACATCATGGGTGTCAGAACATACTTCGGAGGGCAATAAACCGCAGCAAGAGTAATGTTTTGTTGTTGTGTTGATAGTGTAATGGCTGTAGCTTGAATCTCTGGTGTTATGGGTAATTGTAAAGGATTATGTTTTAGAGTTGTTTTGATAATTATGGCAGTGCCTCCATGTGAAGTTCCATCTGGGTGGTCGGTTCTGTAGATTTTGTAACCACGGATGTAAAATTTAGAATGTGGTGTCAGATGTGTTTCTGTTATTAGTGCAATGTCAATGCGTTTCTCGTGTAAGTATATGTCTAGTTCGGTTCTATGTTGATTCAGTCCGTTTGCGTTCCATAGTATAATAGACATGGAGCCCACAGTCGTCTGATTACGGGGCATATTTTTGGGTAAGAGCGAGAGTAGCCTGAGATAGCTGTTGTAGAAGACTGAAGAGGGGCTGTATGAGGTTATTGAGACCGCTAATCAAATGTATGATATCACCTGAGGAGGTTTCAATAGTAGGGAGCGTTTGGGCAATGCCCCTACTCATACCTTTAGGCCTTTGTTCTTGGTTTGTTGCCGGTACTGGTTTTCGTTGCTGTCTCTGCTGCTGTTGTTCTGGTCCTGAGGGAATTGGATGAGGGTATTGAGGCTGATGCAGTGGTGGGAACTCGTGTAGTTCTGGTGGTGGGGGTTGAACTCTAGGAGGCCTTTGCAGAGTATGGTTTCTTGTGCGGGTCTTCCTAAGCTCTTTCAGAGTTTCGCAATCTCTGTAGTTAGCAGGATGTGGTCCTTGGCAGTTGGCACATTTTGCGACTGTTTCTCGAGTCTTTGTACAGGAAGTGCTTTCGTGACCCATACCACACCTTACACACCTCGGCTGGTGGTTGCAGTACGTCTTGGTATGGCCATACTGCTGACAACGTACGCACTGCGGAATGATCCTTTTTTTCCTTGGCTCTTCGATCTTCACGTGTGTGTAATACAGGAATTCGATGTCGAAAATTTTATCATTGAATGTTGCTTTTGACACATCAACGAAAAACATTGGCAACGGTGTTTTGAATCTTGATATAACATTTACGATGTTGGTTGCCTCGTAACCATAGTTGGCAAGTTCCTGTTTTATAGTCGCTGGAGGTGTGGCGTGGTGTAAATTTTTAATAACTATTCGAGGTGTTTTATCTTCCGGGAGTTGATATGTGTGAAAATCAGCTCCACCCCTTCTAAGACTGGTCACTAACCTACGGTATATTTCTGCGTTTTCTGGATACACGCTGACTCCTCTCATAGACGTTTTCAACCTGAAACTGTTAGGGCCACCTTCATTGTGAAGATAGGTTACTAATGCCGTGTAGTCTTTCACATCGTTTATGTGAATAGGTGGAGGTCTAATAATAATGGGATTATTATTTGCTGGCTGTCTATCTTCCAGAGTATTTGATAAAACTTCGAATCGATTGTTAGTAATAATAGTATCACTAACCTTTATTTGTTTATGACGTGGATCTCTGTCTGAAGCTACATGTCGTTTTCGTCCAGACACAACTTCCCAGGACATAGCTTCTGGTGCATTATCGTGGTTGACTTCAGTTGGTGAATCGTTTGAAGCCGAAGTTTCCGTCATTTTTAGCGGAAGAATCCGCTACACCAGTAATTTTACTTCAATTGATTGCACTTATTTAATTCACGAATATGGAAGAGATAAAGGAAATCAACATGCAGTTAATTGACTTAAACTTGTGATAATTCAATAGAATTTGGAGAGAGAAATAAATTACGTTTGTAACCTTCAATCAATCACCTGTTTCGTTTGGCCATTTAACCCTGAAAAACACCCTGTATATAAAAACCTTGTAGGACTAAAGTTCATATAAGCTAGAGAAATATGGGCCTTCAATGATGACACAGGAATTAACCTGTTAGATTTAAAAGAATATTTTTGAGAAAATATGTTAAATAAAAATGTTAAATTGGAATTATACTCACTTATTTGATATATGGTGACTACAAATTACAGGGTGCTTACAAAAGGATTATAACTATTATAACAAAAGAATTAACTGAAAGAAACTGTCTTCTTAATGGCTTTATTTCTGACAAAGTTTTTTACTCTTTTTTTTTTTATTTTATTTTTTTTTTAGTTCTGATTTCATTTACTAATTTTAGTGCTTAATTTTATTTAAACTATTTTCCTTTACCTTTTAGGATGAAGTTCCTGCAGCACTTTTAGATCAACATATAAAAAATGTTGAAGCTTCTACTGCTGACGGAAAATATGATCCTGCTGCAGGACTACTCCAGGTATTAATTGAAACTCATATTTTTTCCTATTAAATGTTTATTATAAAGAATCATTAATCTTCCTCATTACCAAAGGTAGGTAAGCTTTGTTTTAGTGTAGGATGTTTTAAAAAAATTATGTTCTGGATTATAAATTTTAGCTCTGTAACAAAATCCTTTTTTATTTTCTTATCTATACTAGGTTAGAAAAGTATTTCGAAGAAAGGTGCCAAAAAGGGGTGAGAGAGAAAAAATAAAAGTAAATGAAGGTTTAAAAATCTGATGCCCATATCACACAAGTTTTACTTTCCTCTCTACTTTTAACAGAAATTATTGTCTAACAAAATTGGGGAATTGAGTTTATTGAATTTTTTATACTAGTCTTCCACAAGCCAGTTTAAATTGCTTTAGTTTATCAAAGAAATCGTTCTCAAATCTTTTCTTTGATCACTTTGCAGGAGAAGAAATCTAATTCAATTATTTGTGTTTTTTTACTTTCAATTACCTATGTATGAAATGTATAGTAAGGGACAGTATTGCGATTGTGAAATTTTTTTAATCTGAGTTTTTAACGGAAATACATGTTTTGAGGTCTCCTGAGTTCAAATAACCAAATCCCGCAAAATGGTCTGTGTAAATGTATGTGACAGGTCTAGCTAAAAAACGAAAAGTCTTATGAAACTGAAATTGCATATTTAAGGTTTTTTATATACCTGAGATGTTACAGCAACTTTTTCGTCAAAATCGACTAACCACTTTATCATCGATGAAACACATTTTTACTATTTTCTCGAAAACAGCTCCAATGATTTTGATTAAATTCATTATAAGATTAAAATTAAATAGTTTTTAATCTTATGTAGATCTTATTCTCATTGATGTTCTCTAACAGGGCTTAAATGGCTAAGTTTCAATATTAGCATCCTTTAAAGTAGCTTTAATTTTTTTTTATTTGAGACAATTAACCATTTCACATTGATTCCTAATATAAAAAATAGTTAAATATAAAATATGAAAGAATTTGGTAATTAACTATAGGAAAAATAATAGGTTGTAACAGAGAATAGTTGTAATGAAATTCCAAAGGGAAATGAGCACAGCCGAGCTAGTCTGAATATTAGAACTGGCTTCCATAGTAACATGCGATTTTCATGATCGCAATACTGTTCTTTACTATATATTTTATATATAGGTGAATGAAATTTAAAATCAAAACAGTTAAATTAGATTTATTCTCCTGTAAATTGATCAAAAAAAAAGATTTGAGAACGATTTCTTTGATAAACTAAAGCAATTTAAACTGGCTTGATCAGCATAAAAAATTGCCAGAGAAAATTGACGAATGTGAGAAGGTATGAGGATCGGATGATGAACGATCTGTCGAAAGCAGCGGTTTGGTGGGTCCTTATGTTTAAATCAGAAGACCGGGAACAAGTATTGTGGAAACATACGGAGGATTTGAATTGAAGGACCTCAGAGATGTATGAAGGACGGTGGGATTGGATGACTTGAAAGAGGAAGGATGCCAGGAAATATTTATGACGGTATGAAGGATAAAGCCACTTCAACTCTGCATAAAAATGGAAAACTTACATATTATATGGAAAATTAATATTTATTCGTTAATAAAACCAATATAATGTACCAAAAATGTTATTATATCACTATAACTAAGCCATTTATGTGTACTGAATGGTGTGGTAGAGGCTTGTAGGCACTTAAGCCGGCACCGCTTTTCTCCCGCATAAGTGCATTTTATATGGAACTGCTTCAAATATTTTAAAACGAAATCAGTGTTTTAGGAAGAGAAATATATTCTCCAAAAGTTTTATTTTAGCACATTTTGGGTTATTGTTGCTCGTTTAATTACAATCGATGCTTTATTTTCAACTTGAAAATTTTTAACTTTACTGGTGTTTTTTATTGCCTAAGCCAATTATTTTTTAATATTTCTTCATGTTTTATTATTCTCTGACTATTCAGCTTTAATAAAATCCCAACCACGAGGAAATTAAGCCAAGTGCTGATTCTCAGTGACCAAAAAAACTTACTAAAGTCAAAGTCGTCAATCCGCCACCTTTGGACGCCATTTTGGGGCAGTGTGTTCATTTTTTTTTTGTGGGAACATTGTCTTTTTTTTTTTAATAAATAGTTACAAGGAACACAACTATACAATTTATAGAGATGTGGGGGGAGAGGATGCACGATAGAGGGGTCTGGCCCACCGTGCATTGGGTCCAGAGTTTTTAGACGCAAGCGAATAAAAAGTGCAAAAACATGGAACGGTCTCTAGTCATAACAGTAGAGTTGAGAAGTAGAATTTTGGGGAAAAGGATAGGTTATAACACTTTTTTAATCAAATACTTAGTTTAAACATTTGAAAAAAATAATTAAAATTAAAAATTTGAAAAAAATAAATAAATAATTAAAATTAAAAATTTGAAAAAAAAAAATTGCAAACATAAAATAAAAGTTGAAATGAAAACAATGAATTTCCAGTATTTCGAAATAGATATTCAGTCAAGTTGAGTTTATAGCATAGGAAAATATAAATATCATCTTAAAATGTTTGGTAAATAACCAATCAAGGGTCTAAACATTTATACAAAAATAAAGAAAGCTAAAAATGAATAAGATTTAAAGTAAAATATTTCTGGGGAGAAAAAATAAATTAAATACAGGCTCTGGGTAACTTATATACAAAATTCAACTGAATAAGTCCAGGTCACTCGGTTTTCCTATAATCACTGGTGGGTCTCCCATCTATCTGTCAGCAGCGAATTTTACCTCCACTAAACCAAACATATTTTGTTTTTGCCGTCAATTTCTTCTGTCTGGGTAATGAACAGCAGAGTTTTTTATTGGTGGGCGTGATGGCTTCACTCACATAAACTTGGTGCAAGTCATTCTCTCCCCAGCCTAGATGTCGTGTGGAGAAATCTCTTTGTTCTTCGCTGCCTTACTAACTTATCCTTCACCGTCTGTCTAACGAATCTTGCAATGATTAGGCCTGGTTTCCCTTCCTGCTTGGTCTTGAGGCCCAGACTCTAAGAATTGTGCGTCACAGTTTCACTCAGCTTCTCTGGGATTTCTCTTATTTCGATAGTATTTTTAGTTGAAGTTGTTCTGTAGAGTTTAGTCGACTTTCCAGCTCAGATATTTTTGTTTTTAGCCTGTTATTTTCTATTGTTAAATTTTCAACATGGGTTTTCTGGTCTTCTAGGAATGTTTCTATTTTTAGTAAACCGGTCCATGTTTTCAAATGAATGGTCCGACTATTTCTGCAGAGTTTCATCTCCCGAAGTTTGGACTTCAATTCCCTGACTTCCTCGGTAGTAGTAGGTCTAGTATATTACTAGACTCACCAGCTGGCAATGTACGCGATAACTCGCAATCAATGCATCTCCATTTTTTGCTGGTTTCTTTTAGGCCTTCTAAGTCTGTAAAACCGTTACACAAACTAATTTAGTTTTGTCTTCTCGGCCTACTGTTTTGGCACACAATTTACAATTAACCATGTTGATAGAAAATTAAAATAAAAAAGTCACTGTTGCTTTTAAAACTATGTGAGTAGACGAAAACAATAATAATAATAACAGAGACACACTTGTTTGTTTGAATGGAAGCTGGTAGGATTAAGCTGCTGCTGGCTATCCCCACTACTCCAACTCGATTGCTTCCTTCACAGAAACTGGTTTTATTATTTTTTTTACTATATATCTCTATATCCAAGAAATAACTGCAGTGAAGCTTAATATGATAATACGGGATGAAGTATCTGTGAAAAATAATTGACAGATATGTCTAAAATGGCCGTTTAAATATGATACTCTAAGACTGAATATTAGTGAATTTAGAAATTAAGCAATAGAAAAAATAACCATTAATCATTACCAAAATGGCATGGCGTACTCCATGCACCGCGTGCCTACTGGTGTTCCACTGGAAGATAAAAAGAAAAGTACTCTGCTTTAGTCAATTTAAATAAAGCAATATTTCTGAAAGATAAAACTTGACTCTTAGACAAAAAAAAAATTCTAAGAAATAGAGGATGTCAGAACTTTGCCCCACCTTCCTTACACCCCTCAAATTGCTCTGCGTGACTAAGAGGATCACTCGTTTCTGGTAAATGGTGTTTTTTTTTTTTTTTTTTTAAACAAGGATGTCTAATTAGGATGAGAAAGAGTTTCCACTTTTAAAACAGAGGCCTGGTATCACCACCAACTTAACTTAGATGGATTTAAAATTAAAATAGGCAATGATGGTCTATATTTTGAAGAGTAATTTTTAATAATTTTTGAATTAATATATACATATTTTATGCACAAAAATCTAGTACTTCGTATTTACATTGTTATGTTAATAGTTATCATTTAAAATTGTATTTAAATTAAATTTATTTTTTAGAGTGGCATAGCTGGTACAGCCCCTGAGAAAGATGAAGAATCTGACAAAGATAAGAAAGAAAGTGATGGTGAATCCGGAAATGAAACTATATCTAAGGGAGCTGATTCTGACAGCAAATCTGATGAAAGTACTGTCAAAACAGCAGATCCCGAAGATGAAACAGAAAAGAAAGAAACTGAACAACCACCTTCTAAAGAAACTACAGAGAGGGAGAGGTTAGTCAAAGATGCACAGCTTCAGTCAGCTGCAGCTGCTGCTTTAGCTGCGGCTGCTGTCAAAGCCAAGCATTTGGCTGCTGTTGAAGAAAGAAAAATCAAATCTCTTGTTGCACTCCTTGTTGAAACTCAAATGAAAAAACTTGAAATAAAGTTAAGGCATTTTGAAGAATTAGAAACAACAATGGAGAAAGAAAGAGAAGGTCTTGAGTATCAAAGGCAGCAATTAATTGCTGAAAAACAGCAGTTTCATTTGGAACAACTGAAAGCAGCTGAATTTCGAGCAAGGCAAGAAGCAGTAAGGAGGTTAGCTGCTGAGCAGCAAGCAATGCCAGTGTCACCTGTTCCCCAACAGCAGTTGCCACCTCCGCCCCCATCTGCTACAATCCAGTAGTCATCATTTTTATAAAATGAACTTTTTAATTAATTTCTATATATGTATGTGTGTGTATATATATATATATATATATATATATATATATATATATATATATATATATATATATATATACATATACATATACATACATATATTATATTGAGTTTAAAAAAATTCATGGAAGTGATATTTTATGTTTGTATCAGTGAGCATACCTGTTTATGTATCATATACATACATGTTTGCTATACTAGAATAGAATTTATATTGATTTTAGAATCTTGATTCTGTACATTTTTGTTTTATTTTGATAACTTGAGTAGCTGAACAAAAGTATATTTGAAACTGTATTATTATTATGATAATTTTTTTTAACATTCCTGTACCTGTTATGAAGTAGGAAGGGGAAAGGAAATTATAATTGATAGTTTTACCAAGAGGTAAAATAGAATTGTGTATGATGTATGAATTATTATAGTTCATTGTATTAATTTATTTTTTCAAAATTTTTGACTACAAGAGTGCATGACCTCTTGGCCTATTATAATGTTTTGATCATTAGGTATTCTAATTACAAAGACCTATTTTAATTAATATTCTGTGGCGTAAAAAAAATATATTATTTAAATATTTATTTTATCTGCAATGTAAGTTTTCCTCTTTTCTTTTTTTTTTTTTAAGCAAGTTTTTTGTTTTTGAGCTAATTTAATAAACAACAACTTTTTATTGTTAGTAATAACTTGAAGTTAAATCCCATAATTCTGTTGCAGACATTGACAAATACTAATAAATTTAAGTAATTTGTATTCTGAATTACTTGAATGGTAACAGAATTTTTTTTTAATGATGTAGAGATGGTTGACTGTGATATAATATGAGAAGGAGATGGTCGGGGGGTGCAGTCTAATAAATACCTAATTTTTAAAAAATAGTAATTTTTAATTGTTATGCCTTGTATTAAAAATAGTGTTTTTTAATTGTTGAGGGGTGTTACAATTAAAAATACTATTTAAAAATTACAATTAAAAATACTATGAGCGCACCCCCTCCCCCAACCATCTCCTCAGAATTTTTTTTTGTTTCCTCTCTCCAGGTGTATGTTTGAAACTTTATTTGTGTTCTGAAAATTGAATCAGCTCTATTGTTACAAATCATACCTCAGTTTCCAAGGTAAGTTTTGCATCCTAGTAAATATAAATAAACGTAATTTAAAACAGCCAATTTTGTTTGTTACTTTTGAAGGTTTAAATTATTGCTTAATTTTTTTTTTGTGTATTTTCCTTTAGAATAGCATAAATATGCTCTGTATCAAAGGTGGTTAGTGGGAGGCATTTTTAGCCATTTTAGAATCCCTAGAACATGATTATGTTTTAGAAGCAGTTTTTAGATAAAGATTCTCTTCATTTTTATATTACCACGAATAACTTAAAAAATAGCTAACTAAATAATAAATATATAAAATATTGATTATTATTAAAATTAATGTGTTCTATTATTAAAATTATTTTTATACGAGGGCTCATTGATGCGGTGATTGTGAAAGTTCTGATTTTTATTGAGCAATTGAACAACAATTTATAAAACTTCATAATAATTTTTAAAAAATTACGTTGTCTATTTATTCTGATGAATTCTGGCAGTTCTATAATTTATTTTCTCGGATATGGTTCATATCATATAGGCTATGCCATTACGATTTATGAGTCATCAACTTGGTTCCTCCTAGGCTATGGTACTAAGTGCCTCTGAGATGTGAGCGATGCTGCTATAAAACTGGTGAAGCTGTCATTGATCCTTTTAGAAAAACAATATTTTGAGTGCTGCTTGTTTAAAAATAAATCTTAAACAATTTTATGCTGTTGAATTTAAACATAAATTATTCATTTTAACAAATAAAATTTTTTAATAAGTATATCATATCCTGTATCATAATTTTTAATTACTTTTAAATATATATAAATAACTTGATAAATATAGATAGATAGATAGATAGAAAGTAAACTTTATTCTGGGACGAGGTCCCTTATGAATAACAGTTATGAACAAAAAAAAAAATTACATCTGGCCATAAATCACATTAATCAATATTAAAGAAAATATACAGTATCTCAGTAAAAGTATATTAAAACAAGTAAAAATAACACCATTTTGAAAAAACAAAAACATTATTTAAATGAAAAAAACAAAACAAAATAATGTAAGCATGGGCTGTTTTTTAAAATTAAAACTTTTTTAAAATTTTAACAACCATTCACCTCAGTCAAGATCTGTTTCGCAATATTTATTTCATTGTATAATGTCATTTTGGGATGTGAGAAGGAATTGGTAGAGATGATATTTAAATGAGGACAAGGAAGAGGCATGGGGGATATCAGATGGCAAGGAATTCCAGAAGGCAGGGATTGGGCAATAAAGGAATATTCAAATGTCTTAGTTCTATGGGAAGGGATATAAAGGTCGGAAACACGGGATCTTGTTTTCTGGGAGTGAACAACGGGTTTGAACTGTAGGAGACTGTAGATGTAGGAAGGGTGTCGGGTGTTGATCGTTTGGATTAGGAAAGATCCAAGGACATATTGTCTGCGTAAAGAAGGGAAGAGCCACTTTAACTCATCGTAAAGGTGGGACACATGAGACCGCCTCTATTTACCGAAGACAAATAAATCTTAAGCAGGTATTCATGAATCGCTTCAATCTATCCTCGAGTACTATCGGGATGCCTCCGTACACCACACAGCCGTAGTCAAAGTGGGGAAAAATAAGAGAGGATATAAGGAGCTTGCGGATGGGTTGTGGGAGTAGGTGGCAGGAGCGATGAAATAGCTTAAGGGTACCTATTGACTTACGGGAGATGAGGGCGATATGGGGTTTCCAGGACAGGTTTTCGTCTATGGTGATTCCTAAGTTTTTAACATAGGAACTGAATGTGACAGGATGGTCGTTGATGACTAAAGGAGAAAGGAAGGAGATGGATTTAAGAATAGAACTGGGACCTATAATAATGGCCTGAGTTTTCATCGCGTTTAGCTTTAAATTATTCAGACTTGCCCAGGCACTGATCCTATCTAGGTCTGCCTAAATATTGGTGAACGCGACTAGTAGCTCAGAAGGATGAAAGGAAAAATAGATTTGGGAGTCATCAGCGTACAAATGATGTAAACAGTGGTAGATGGATTTGGAAAGATCATTTATGTAGGAATTAAAAAGGAAGGAAGATAGGAGTTGGTTTGGAATGCTGACTGCTTGAGTTCTGTCGGATAGGAAAGACTGCAACCAGAGGATAGAGCTGTTGGAGAAGGATAGAGATTTTAATGTATTGTAGAGTATAGAGTGGTCTAAGGAGTCAAAAGCTTTGGAAAAATCGAGAGGTATTAACACAGTTAACATTTTTTCGTCCATTGCGGTATGTAAGTCATTGGTAATTTTTAGTAATGCGGATTGTGTGGAGAAGCCAGGTCGAAAACCAGATTGGAGAGGATTGAGTAGTTTTGAGTTTTCGAGGAATTTAGAGATTTGGGAATGAGCTATTCTTTCAAGAGGTTTAGAAAGGTTAGAAAGAATGGAGATTGGGCGGTAGTCTTTAGGGGACGTAGGATTGGGGATTTTGTTAATAGTTTTGACTAATGCTTTTTTCCAAGCAGTAGGAAAAACTGAGTTCTGGAGGGAAAAATTATAGATGAAAAGGAGAACTGGAAGGACTTCGGGAAGGCATAATTTTAACAGTTTGACTGGTATTCCATCAAGTCCGATGGAGTTTGTATGGGATTTCATTATAGAGGAAATAAGATCAGTTGGTGAAATATTGGAGAAATAGAAATTATCACTATTAAATGAGGGTGATAAGGAAAACTGGTAAGAGGAGGGTGAGCTGTTGCTGGTGGTAGAAAATATAAAGTAGGAATTTAATTTATCAGGTGAAACCGGGTAGATCGGTGAGGGAGAGGATTTACAAAGAGAGAGTTTACGAAGGGTTAGCCATATTGATTTAGAATCAGGAGCAGAGGAGAAGGTTTCGTGAAAGAATTTTGATTTCGCTTTCCTGATCGTTGTTTGTGTCAAGTTACGGAGTACTCTATAGACTTGATAGCCATCTGCTAGTCGAGTTCGTCTGAAGCGTCTACGGGCTGCATCCCGTCTCTTTTGCATGTCACGGATTTCTTGACACACCCAAGGAGCAGGTTGGCGGCGAAAGGTTGAGGTTTTGATAGTGGAATGTATGTCGAGAATATGGATAAGATTTGAAGTGAGGATGTCTACCATATGATCAATAGAGGAGCAGGAATAAATATAGTTCCAGTTTAGGATTTCAAGGTCATGTAGGATTTTTTCACGGGTGAGGGTGTCAAGATTGCGGAAAGTTATGGTTTTAGGAAGAAACTTGGGAGTTTGGATATCGTACGATAGTTGGATGATATCATGAGAAGAAAGGAAAGGAACGGGTAATTGAGAACAGAGTTTCTGCTCTGAATCGATGATATGCAGGTCCAACCAAGTGTCAGACCAACATGCTTGGTGTGCAGGAGCGAAAGGAACAACAAAAAGGTTGAGGGAGAAGAAGAGGTTTTCCAAGTAGCGTTTGTTGTTGGATTCTGCGAGGAGGTTGGTGTTAAGACCAACGGAAATTATAATTTTATTATAGTAAGGAACATAATTGTACTAGGTTGATTCAAAGGAGGGCGATATACGACCACATAAAGGAGAGGATGTGCTTTACCAGATATTTCGGCGAAGAGGAATTCAATGTGAAGATGATTAGAAGGGGATGAAACATCAAGAATACGGGGTTTCAGGCTATTGTGAACATAGAGACCTACACCACCGCCAGTCCGGGGAATCCGGTCATGACGGATGAGGGTATAATCAGGTAAGGAAACGAAGAAGGAAGGGATATAGGGCTTAAGCCATGTTTCAGAAACTGCAATAATGTGGTAGAAATTATGGGTGAAATATTGGAGAAACTCCTCATAGTGAGCAGGAAGGGATTGTGAATTAACATGGCAAGAAGTTAAGAGGCTAGACATAACGGAAAGAAGAAAAGTATATATATGATGGATAACGCTGTAAGTAAGAA